CAAGAGAATTGAAGTGATGGGGAATGAAGGGAAGGCAATAGGACACTCGGGACACACAAGCAAAAAGGAGGTTAGAGGAATAGGCAAAAGGATATAGAGAAGATAAGAGGAAACAAACAAAAAGGGAAGGAAGGAAGGGAAGGGGAGGGGAAGGGGAGAAGAGGGAGCAGAGGAGAGGAGAGGAGAGGAGAGGAGAGGAGAGGAGAGGAGAGGAGAGGAGAGGAGAGGAGAGGAGAGGAGAGGAAGACAGAAAGAAGGAAGGAGAGAGTGGAAGAAAGGTAGGATGGAAAGGAATACAGAAGGAAGGGAGGAAAAGGAAGGAAGAAAGGGAGGGAGAGAGGGAGGAAGGAAGGAGACAACGAGAGAGGGGAGGAGGGAGGGAGGGGAAGAGAAATCTCATAGCAAATCCTAATACTTGGTATGATAATACAAAAATATTTTATTTAAAAACAATTGAGACTGACCTAGGTCCTCTGCATATATGTTGCAGCTGTGTAGGGTGCTCCCCAGGGGCTGTCTCCAACTCTTTTACTGGCTTTTAGAACCCTACTTCTCATACTGGGTCACCTTGCCCAGCCTTAATACATGGGAAAGTGCTTAGTCTTACTGCAACTTAATATAGCATGTTTTATTGAATTTCATGGGATACCTGCCTTTTCCTCAATGGAGACAGAAGAGGAAGAGATTGAGGGAGGGGGAAAAGGGAGAGGGAATGAGGGGAGGATGGGGTGCTGTGGTCAGGATGTAAAATAAATAGATGAATAAAAAAAAACACCGGAGGAAGGATAAACATTAGTAAGGACAAAGGCAGTATCTGAAACATACCTCTGCCTTTCTCTCAATGTATCAATTAAATTAGAACTGCTCATAAATTAAATATAAGAAATCCCCTTTGCAGGTCTCTTTTCAATATCAGACATCAAGTCTCATTTACTGCTACTACATTTTCTAACACCAAACTCCATTTTTAACAGAATGGAGTTTGTCCCAGCCTGTGGCTTAGCACAAGAAAACATAGTAACATGGCTGTCGGAGAGAAAGACCATTAAAGTCAGATAGAAATTAAGGTTAATGAAGGATTTTGTGTTAGCACTCTGCTGGAATTGCCATGGAAAGCTCCCCCTGGCCACACTTGTCATTTGAGGAACTCCTAGGGCTTCAAAGTCTTACTGAAACCAGATGAACTCCAAGGAAAGAAACTTCCATCTGCTGCCTACAGCAGAGAAAGAAGCACCACAAATAAACCTTATAGGTGTCTAGAGTCAGTCAAGACACTTAATACAGTCAAGACACTTGATACAAAATGGTAGGTACAGAAAAACAAACAAGCAAATAAACAAATGTGCTCAGTGACAAGTTAACTGGGGTTTTAAAAATGTATTAGCTTCTGGGGTTTCTACTGTAGAAGTTACTTGCTAATTGCAACATCTGTGTCCTAGCCAGCCTGGATGTAATTAAAAACTTATATAGGAGAGTGTTTACAGAGCTGGCCCACAGCAAACCTATGAATCATCTCAGAATGCTCACCAGCAGGCTCTGCAACCCAAGGTCAGCATTATACTGGACTCCTAGTCCTTGATGAAGACCTGATTACAAAGTATTTGTGAGCTTCAAACAGATCTGCCACTTTACAGCTTAGAAGGTCTCACTACGCTGAAATCAAAATGCTAAAAGGCTGTGTTCAGCATCTGAACAATTTGCCTTCCATCCTCCAGGCTAGCTGTTGCATCACTATAGCCTCTGTTGTCATAGTCATAGCTCCTTTGACTCAGATTCCCTGGTTTCTCTCTTTCACTTGTAAAGGCCCCTATGACTACACTAGATTAGCCCAGCAGATCAGAGCTCATATTACTACCTTAAAACCAGCTCATTGGCAACCGTAATTCTTTGTGTACCATTAATGCAGCCTTGCCATACAACATACTTAGAATAATAATGCTAAATATGACTATGGTTCCATGTTTTAGGTTACAGACATATGAACATAATGGAGTACAGCATAGTTCTGCTGACCACTCCTTCACATGGCATATGAACCCCCTCCATCACTGAGAACAATCTGTCCCTCTCATCCTATCTCATTGTACCTATGATATATTAGATATGTGGATTGCTATATAACTAGTTACACTGAAACTCACCTCAGACATCTATTAGCCCATAAGTTCTTGCAGTTAGAAATTCAGGCAGAACTTAACTGGTCTCCTGCCTTAGGGTCTATCGCTAAACTACAGTGGGGCTGCCTTCATCTCAATGCTCATCCTGTCCACTCATGTGGATGCTAACAGCATTCCTCCCTATCTCTGGGTGCTGGCTGGTGCCTTCTCTCACTCCCTTACCACGTGAACTTTCTCCATAAGGTAGCAACAACTGGGCACCTGGCTTCCTCAAAGAAACCAGCAAGAAGACCCACAGAGCAAAGTCAAGCAAGAAAACTCAGACGCTTGTAACCTCAATCCATCACTCTAGCTGTGTGCATCCCCAAGAACATAGACCACTCTACACAACATCCGCTGGGTCATAGAACCACATGTGCAGCAGAAGGTGGGCCATAGCCATAACAGATGCTGTCCAGTGTATCCCAATAGGTACCCCATGCTCTCACCTCACAAAACCACGAATACTCCCTGAAAACATGAAAAGGACTCTAGAGCCTGTGCCTTGTATACCTTCATTAATTCATACATTCAAGTCACAAGAGCTGGCGATTCATCCGTGAGAAAACACAAGGCCCCTACTCCTTGGAGCAGGCATTCTAGCAGGCAAAACAGAATAAACAACACATGATATGCAAGAGAGTGATGAGTCACAGCAGGTAAGGGGTGTGGTTGATGTCGGGTGAGGCTGTCATATGTGGACTGGACTGAAAGGCCCCTCTCAAGTCTTCCCTTTGTGCAGATATGTGAAAGGAGTGAGGAGCCATGAGGATATTTGGAAGAGTATCCTTGGCAAGACGGGATAAAGTACAAAAGGAACTGAAGCTTTCAAGGAGTGTTATACAAGAGATCTGCACATGTGCAACAGAACAGGCAAGAGAGGTGGCTAGAAGTGTGATTACAAAGGGAGCCAGCGCCTTGCAGGACCTCACGAGTGATTACTATACTACTTCAGTCAACACTGCAGTGACTTAAAACTTAGGAAAGAATCAGCCTCTTGGAGTCTCAAGATGCTAATTCCAGTTCTATGAGTAGGGGAGCTCACCTTACTTTACAGTGTGACTGTGTCAGTGAAAAAAAAAAACAAACCAGCATGCTCTATGTGGTTCACTGAGGGTACATTTTCTAATTACTTTAATATGGAGGCTTGAAAGAAAATGGCACCCAAAGGGAGTGGCACTATTAGGAGGAGGTGTGGCTTTGTTGGAGTAGGTATGGCCATGTTGGAGAAAGTGTGTCACTGTGGGGGTGGGCTTTAAGATCTCATATGGCTCAAACCATACCAGTGTCTCAGACCACTTCCTACTGTCTGATCAAGATGTAGAACTCCCAGCAACCTCTCCAATACCATGTCTGCTGGCATGCTACCATGTCCCACCGTTATGATAATAGACTGAACCTCTGAACTATAAGATACCCAATTAGGTGTTTTTCTTTACAAGAGTTGCCATGGTCATAGTGCCTCTTCACAACAATAGAAACCCTAACTAAGGCATTTAAAAACAGTACTGGAGTTGTAGAGATGGCACAGGGTTAAGAGCACTGGTTCCAAAATCATCAGTACAGAGTTCAGATCCCAGCATGCACACAATAAGATATATCCTCACAAATGCCCAAAGGGAAGAGAGAAGGCAGGATCACTGGGACTGGCTGGCTTCCAGCCTAGGAGAGAAAACTCAAACCCAAAGTTCAGGAAAACACCCCTGTCACAAAGGAAAAAGATACAAAGTGATGGAGAATGACACCTAATGCCCTCTCCTGGCCTCTGTACACACTACACACACACACACACACACACACACACACACACACACACACACACACACACACACACACGTATACATACATATGCACATGCCTACATATGTATAATACACATATATGCATAAATTAATTAGATATTTTAAAAATGAAAGGTGTTCTATGTGAAAATTACAGGTAGCAGAGTCTACTTTTATCCTTGGGTAGAATAAACAAAATTAAAACAACTTACATGAAACTGCAATCAACTCCTTATCTAAAAATCAAACAATTTCAAGGAATCTTGACTGGAACTCAGTTCCAGGTTGACTCAATTGCATGTAGTCAGATTATCTATCTGAAGGTAGATCTCCACCAAAGAGCCTACAAAGGGTTCCCTGCACAATGAAATGAGCTAGTGCCTACCAAACACGTAACCCTTAATGAAATCATTGCAGACAAGCATCAGGAGGCTACTGGCCTAGAAGGAGTTCCTTCTATATTCACGTATTAGTTAAATTTCCTACCTGTAATTACTCAAGAATTTGTTAAGAGATACTCATTTTCTTTGCTGCGTTACCCAACTCTCAGGTTCTTAAATCATTCTGATGCTTAGAAGTCACCTTTACATACCATGGAGGGCCTCTACAGTAAATTCAGATAGGCAAATGGGATTGAGTTACATCAAGGTAGGAGGGGTCAGCATAGGTATTTAAGAGTGGCTGGGTCTGAAGCAGACTGTTTTATAAAAATAAGAGAGAGACACACCTCATTAGCAAATATTAGGTGTTAGTGGAAAGGGAGACGTGGACAGGACGAGAAAGTGTGGCATGGCTCAGCTTACCCTCTGCCTTCTCTATGTTTTCTGGACGGTGGCAGGAACCAGCACCCGAGCCCAAAGCTCTTGCTGTGAGTGTGGTGATTGTTGCACTGGCAAAGAAGTAGTCTCCCTCCACAGAGGCAGAGATCTCAGGCACAGTTCTACTGATGGGAAAGCGGCAGAACAGCAATCACTAGAGGAGCTCTGAAGAGGTGGGCACAGGTCAGGGATAGAGACATACTCACCTCTCATGACTTCATAGCATAATTCTTTGAGAGTCGAATCAATGCACTTTTTATGGAGAGAGAGTGAGTTATGATTGCAAAAATATTGGTTGCTGTAACAAGATAGATACTTAGTGGTAACTAAGACCACATGGGAGGCTTGATTATTTGCTGAGCAGATTATGCCTCAAATCATCAATATTCTTCATGGAAGAGTAGAGGGAAGTGGATGAAAAAGAAATCAGTGACTTCTAGGAAGTGATTAGAAATCATGTTAAATACTTCTGAGCTGTACTGCTTAAAGCTAGCACATGGAAGAAACTACTTTAAAGACAGAGATTGGTGGAGAAGACGGAAGGACTGATGAGCCTCTAAAGAAATGTTGGTATTTTCTGCATCACTGGATCCTCAAACCTCCCAGGCCTTCTGCTAAAAGGCCTAAAGGACACAGGAATTGTACTTCTGGGGAAGGGGTGAGGGCTGGAGGGGATGAGGAGTGAGTGGTGGGGGTGTGGCAAGTGGCTTTCTTTTTCCTCAGCTGTCCCCCCAGAACAGCAGCCCTGGATCGATGGCCTACAAGTGCTCATGGAGACCTCAGTGGCCAGGTCAGACTTCGTGAACCCCAGCATCCTCATTGCCATGAACCTGGCCGGCACCTACAATGTGGATGCCCAGAAGCTCCTGACTAACAAGCTCATGGCCATTGACAGTGCAGGTTAGACACTGGAGCCCTCCCTGAATCTTCTACATGCAGGCTACCCCAGACCCCAGGTCTATGTCATCATCCATCCCAATTCATTCATCTTTCCCTGCACAGCAGCAAAACAGTTGTAAATAAACATGTGTGACATCAGAATGTTCAGGGAAGAGGGAAGCAAGGGCTTCTGGTTCCGAATCTGCTGCTTATGAACAAGTCACTGGATGCCACTTACTCACCTTGCCCTCTAAGGACAAAACAATTGCAATAGTGAGAGTAACAACAAAGTCTAGGGTCTATTTACTTCCCATAAGTTTGCCTTGAGGTTCTAGATGTATAACCAAGTTTACTTTCTGCCTGTAAGTTTCCACAGACTTTCACGAGTTTTCTTGTTTCTTTTTTAAATAGAGAGCAGGGATTTTTTTCTTAGTATATATCAATTATATTAAATAATTAATTTCATTATGCAGTCATTGAGTCATATAGATAGCACTAAATTCAATGTTTCCTCAAAGATTTGTTTCCATATGCCTTTCTTTAGAAAAAAAGAGATTTTAAAACTATGTGAATGCACTACCGAGAAATCCAAATCCTGAATTTGGGGCTCTGGGTATAAGGCTGGGAGATTCTGTGTGTGTGGTGACATACACCTGGAACCCTGGCACTCAGCAGGAGCATCTCTGTGAGTTCGGGCCAGCCAGGAATACAGCGCAACTTAAACCTTAAAAGGGGAGAGTGATGAACAGCAGATGAGAGATAGGCTCCTTGGGTAAAGGCATGTGTTACCCAGGCGTCACCATCTGAGCTTGAGTCCCAGAATCCACATAACATTAGAAGGGATAACTGACTCCACAGAGATGCCTTTCGACCTCCACATGTGTGTTGTGGCTGCACACACACACACACACACACACACACACACACACACACACAGGAAAACACAGTAATAATAATAATGACAACAATAAATACATAATACTATAAGTTTAAAAAGCAAGTGCAACCCTGAGTCTAGCCCTTGGTGGCGCTGTGCCTGAGAATGCCTGCCCTCATCGTTCTGATCTTTTCCATAGACCTGACAAGCGGGCAGCTCGCCCTCACCATTATGGCTCTCACCTCTTCCTGCCGAGACACTGAAAGTCAAGTATCCATTCTGCAAAAGAAAATGGAGAACTGGGAACCTTCAAGTAAGACCTTATGGGGAGGGAGGGAAGAGTGGGGTGCAGGGTCCTTCCTGGGAATTTTTAGTCCGGTAATAAAATTATGGAAGTTTGAAGAGTGAAAAGTCAGGGAAGAGACTAAGATCGCCTCTGCTCTGACAGTCCCACCAGTGCGACACTCACTTCTGAGCTAAAATGAACTAGAGAAGCCAACTCCCCAAGCATGGACTGGACAGCCATCATCCCCCCAGAGTCAGCACTGTCCCTCTTCTCCTCAGATGCAGATGACATTCTCACTCTGAGAACACTGATGTGATCCTTTGCCAATAGTGTGTCTTGTTATGGTGACAGGACTTCTAGTGGTCTCCAGTATGGTAAGTGTTAATCTAATGATGGTTCTCTAATGTCTTCTGAGGCCCCGGGGCTGATGCCTCAGCCTTCTATGGACCTGGCCTGGCGATCCTCGCGCTCTGCCAGAAGAACTCAGAGGCAACCTTGCCCATTGCAGCACGTTTCGCTAAGACCCTGATGAAGGACCCTTCTCCTTTCAATGTGGGTAAGCTGATGGCATCAGACACTGACCAAAGTGAGAGTATCAGTGCCACAGTAGACAAGGGGTAGTGATGGAAGGGGAAGTAAGGGAGAGGAACCTTCCATGGAGGTGGAGCTGAGAGGATGCGGGTGGGGGCGGATGAAAACATTGAACAAATGTTAGTTGGACATGTAAGTTAATGACAGATCTCCACTGGGACATTAAACATGTCACAAGTCACATGTTATTTCAAATAAAATGGACATAGATGCCTTGCCTCACCCCAACTCTGCACTCCTTAATTTGTATTAATTCTCCCATACTCTGTATTACAAGATGTTTCTCCTTTTTCCAACCAAATGCCCCAAACAGTTATTTACTGAAACTAACATGGGACCTTCTTATCCCTTTGTTTTACCCATACTGAGCTGCTTATGAATGGATCCTTTTCCTCTGTGGTTCTATTTCCTTCCTTCAGCCTTTCTGTGTGTAATGATCTTTCCTCTGTTGGGGATCCTGGCATGGACTCACTGTCATGGCCCTCTGCCACTCTCTAAGCAATATCATCTCAGACTTTCACTCACTTCCACAGGCCTCAAATGCAAGCTTTTTCTTTTTGCTACCAGACAAGCAGGTGGATACAGTCTAGCACCCTTCCTGGGGATCAAGAACAGGCTGGTATCCCTCTCTATCTGGAACATCACACATGGCTGGGGCACCTCTGTCAGTTCAGTAAGTGAGGAGGACTTCTTTATCTTCAGTGCCTTTTTTTTACGAGACAGGGTTTCTCTGTATTGTTTTGGAGGCTGTCGGTCCAGCCTGGCCTCAAACTCACAGAGATCCGCCTGCCTCTGCCTCCCGAGTGCTGGGATTAAAGGCGTGCGCCACCACCGCCCGGCTGTCTTCAGTGCCAATAACGCTATCACTCTTAATGGAGCTTTGAGATTTTCAAATGAGGTGGGAAGAGTAGTGAAATAAAAGTTGCCATCTTGATAGCATCTTACTTGGTCTAGTCTTGTCAGAACTTGCTCATTTGGCCCACACATGTTTATCACATGCAAATAATGAAAAGTCTCTGTGCTGGGTGCTATGATGGATGTAAATTTCCCACTGCCCAAACATGCATAAAGCCCAGGAACCACACACACATGACACAGAATGCTGACAGAGTGAAAAAGGAATAAACCACAAATGCTAAGGAGACTCAGACTAGTGTTCCAGGAAGCTGTCATTGAGGTGTGACAGCTAGGCCTTCCCGAACTGATGACATCTCAAAAGATCAACATTGAGATAAGAGAAGAGGGATCGAACACACTGCCATTTACACTATTTAAGGTTTTAAAGTCTGGAGCTGTTCAGTTGTACATTTATTTTAAAATCTGACCCTGCTGCTTACAGGCTGTGTGGCCTTAGGCAGGTACTTTACTGCTCTGAGCTCCTATTTTCTCATCTCTTAAATGAAGACATTTACAGGTGCTATTCCACAGGTGATCCCAAGAACTAAAGGAGCTCCTATAACCAGATCACAATAAGTAGCTGATGAATGTTGGCTGTGGTGGTGATTATGGTGGGGGGGGGGTCTGTCTACCCTCTGCCTTCCAGACACAGGAGCAGTATCAACCTTGGCCCTGACCTGCATGTACAACAGGATTCCTGTAGGTTCTGAGGAAAATTACAGAGACCTGTTTGGTGAGGTACTGAAGATTCTTGTGGATAATATCAGCTTGAGGGTCAAACCTGATGGCATCATCGGAGACATCTACAGCACTGGCCTTGCTATGCAGGTAAACGCATACTATATGCTCCTAATTTAGGCCAAAATAATAACTCTGAACTGTAGGACCAAGGGACTTTGTGTCTACTAGCATGCCTGGGAAAGTCCAACTAATGTGATTTGGGGTCAATTCCTGAACTACCTGGCCTCAGTTTCTCCACTAGCAAAATGAGGGTATATGTTAGCTCACAGATAAAATGTGAACACAAACCTAAAAGAACTCATTCTCCTTTCTTGGAAAAATGAAACAAATAAATCAAGAATTTTCAGGGTTTATTACCAATAATAACCAGTTTACTAGTAGTGGTCATACACTATTGAAAGTTTGGTACATACATACTGATATGACAGTAAGTCTTCCAAAAATATTGATGGAATCTTCTGCTTCAAACTTACCAGGGAAGTGTTCTTTATTTCCTGCTTATCTTTACCCAAAAAAATGGTTTGTATTTAAAATGACTGATATAAGTAATCTAAAGATTATTCTCTCTCTCTCTCTCTCTCTCTCTCACACACACACACACACACACACACACACACACACACACACACACAAATAACCCAGTAAATAGCAGAGTCAAGTCTGAGAAGCTGGGTCTGCAGTCCATTCTATGCCTCCCTTACATATCTCCAGGCTTAAATTAGGAAAGATGCTACTTGACAGCCTCAAATCCATCACCATCTCCCAGCCCCTGTTGATTAAAGCAGGAATCATGCATGGAAAGCACATGTATCCATGATTGTGGAGAGAGATTAACAACTAGAATCAGAAATTAGAGTCACAATGGTCATATCCTCTAACCCATACTGAGATATTAATGGTCTAAATAGCTTATGAAATTAAAAGAAAACCTGCAACATGAACTCCCAACCTCAGAAACTCCAGGAAAGGGAGAGGGCTGGAGTTGCAATGTCAGCCTTAAGCTTTGTGTAGCTCTCGGTTACTGTTAAAAGGAATCATCTCCTAAGGGAAAAAAAGAGAGAAACTAGTGTTGGTTACCTCCACACACTAAAAATTTAGGTAAGAGTCCAAACAGCATATAATAGTCAATATCAAACATAAGAGTGAAGACAAATCACCAGTCCAAAATACCATACGTGGAAGTGACTAAGAGAAAAGCCAGCTTCTTTGTCATGGTCACTGGAATTTTATCACTAAAAAAAATTTTTCCCATGACTGAACCATACAAAATCATCCCCAGAACTCATGTCTAGGAATTCCTGGGGAAAGCAGGCAGCCTGAAGGAATGAGTTTAAGACTGGGTTTGGCAGGGTGGAGTCACGTGCTTAACCTTGTCTAAGGAGTTTGACTGCTTTAATGCCAGACTGTTTACTTTGCTGATTTGGCTTAGGAACTCTACTTGAGGTTGCACCACTTTCTAGGTACACTCTGGTAGACAATACCTGAGAATAAAAGCTTTTCCTATCATGGGCAAGACCTCATCCATATCCAGCTAACACTCCCCATGTAGATTTCTTGTCACTTAAGACACATGACTTCTCCCTACCTGCCTGCTGAGGAGTGCCTTAGACCAAACTGCCTTGTAAAGTGACCTTGATGGAGAGTTATGGTCTGCATTTGCTAAAGTTGACAGGATGACCATACCTGTCACAAATGTCCAAGTGCCCACACTGCTTTCCCTAGCTAGAACAACCATCTCTGACTCCCCTCCACCTTCTCCCATTTTCTCTTTCCAGCTTCAGGCAAATTTGTCATTAGCCAATACAGCTCACTCCCATACTTGGTGGCATAACTGTAAGGGAAGGGAGTATGCAATGGTAGTTTCCACATCATGCCTTGCAAAATGCTTTTCCACACTTGCCCACTGGACCCTCAAATGATACCCCCTCCAAAGACAAGCAGGATTTACACTTTCTAATTTACCCCAAAGATAGAAAACTAGGCAAGAATAAATGAATTGCTTACTGTAGTAACCCAGACTCATTTCGCAAGTACCAGAAGCCCAAATCTTAAAACATACCTGGGTGTTTCCAAGGCTAGATGAAGTTGTTTCAAGAATAACCAGAATAAAATGATCAAATAATGATATCAGGGACTACTATTAGCTGTCTCTCCTACCTGGTCTCACTCATTCTCTCCTGCTGTGTAGAATTTAATTGGTCAATGACAGCTTGGTGTTTACTCATACAGACCAACTGAAATACACAAGCAAAAGAAATGACTTTCACCTTCAGTTTTGGTGTATCAGGGAAGAACTGATCGGTGCAAGCATCCACCAGTCACTGTTCCCAAGGAGTCCAGTGCAACCCAGGTCATGACTCTATCCCAAGGCCAGGGCTGTGGAGTCTATGATTGACAGTCCTGGCACAGACACATGCTTTGGGAGAATTCCACCAAAAGGTGTGCATAAAATACAGATCAAAAACAGTCTAGTGCGTGTACTGGTCCAAATATAGCAGTCTTAGCAGTATTTCCTGACTCTAGTCATTGACCAGATATTATGTGGCTATTTTTTTAAAAGAACTTGTCAGTGTTTGTTTCTTTACTTGTTTTATTTTATCTTGTGTGTATAGGGTGTTTTGCCTACCTATATGTCTATACATCATATGCATGCCTAATACTGGGGCCATAGAGGGTAAGGTCATAAGAGGATGATGGGTCCCCTGAAACTGGAGATACAGATGGTTGTGAGCTGCTGTGTGGGTTCTGGGAATCAATCCAAGGTCCTCTGGAAGGGCTCTTCACCACTGAGTCATCTCTCCAGCCCCTACATCATTTCTTTCTTTAAACAACCTTTTGTTTGTTATTGATAGACAGAAGATTACACCCACACCTCATGCATACTAGGCAAATACTTTGCCACCATGCTACACCTCCAGTCCTTCAATGACTATCATGGGACAGACACTGTGGAAGACAAGCACAATTCCAAATCTTCTGCTGCTTCAGATTGGATTCTAGAAGATTATAATGATTAGCAATAAAGTTCATCTCTCATAAGAGCCAGCTCCTTGCCATACCTAATCTTTCCTCTCTTTCTTTATCCTTGCCCATGCCTGCCCACTCTGTCCTAGGCTCTCTCTGTGACACCTGAGCAACCTACGAAGAAATGGGACTGTGAGAAGACTATGGATACAATACTCAAGGAGATTAAGCAGGGGAAATTCCAAAATCCCATGTCCATTGCTCAAATTCTCCCAATCTTGAAAGGCAAGACTTACCTAGACGTGCCCCAAGTAACTTGTGGTCCTGGTAAGAACTTTTCAGTATCCTCCCCTTCTTATGTCATAAAGTATACTTACAGTATAATGGAATGTAGCTTTAGGTTGAATGGCATATAAGATCAATTTGTCAATTCATCCCAGATAGGTAGAGCTACAACGGATCTCCAATCCCCAAGCATGTGTATAGCACACACACAGCCAAAGTGCCTAGCCTTCAGAATTCAGCTCCTTATACTGGACACCTCCTTTAAGGAGGTAGATGGCCCATGGTCACCAAGGGAACTTCACTCAGTTGACAAATGTACTACCAGACATCACACATGTCTTATCTGTTCTTTACAAAGTTGGAAGACAGACATATAGACAAAGCTATAGTCTTTACAGTAATGAAATCATCGTTAAGTAAAAATCAACATCATCTACATGACAAAAGCAAAAGAGGAGGAGAAGGAAGGAGAGGAGGAGACTAATAATCAATTGTTGATTATATCTGGAAGGCTTAAAGGCACAGATGAAATTCACCCAAGCTTTAAGGATCTAATACTGACAGCCTAACACTCACAGAACACCAACAGGATCAGGTAGAAACCTTACATGTTACTTTATAGCATTTTTGTATCCAATCAAATACAATACTGAAATATTTAAAATTCAGATTGCCTATACATAGCCTTCCTAAAACTTGTCATTCCAGAAAAAGTCTCTGAAATCAACTCCTTTGATTCATTTTTTCTTATCAAATACTTCTTCTTGCATTCACTAGTTTCACATGACAGGAAGGAATTATAAGCACCTCATAGACTTCAGCATCAAATCTACAGGAGCCAAACTCATGCAAACCCACTGCCATCATACGAAACATCACCACCTTAACCTCACTTCCTGTGCCGCTTCCCAGTGACATCACAAGTCTAACATAGAGTCCTTGCCTAGATTCTATTCTGTTAAATAACCTAAAGGTTACTATTTTCTTGAAATTTTCTCGGATAAACTCCCAATAACAATGACTTTTGCATCCAGAACTCAAACACCAAAATCTTTAATAAACTTGGCTGTTTTGCTCCTCACAGATCATGGAGTGCCACCAATTGTAACTGACTATCCTACCCCCATCCCCACCTCAGTATCTAACATTACTGTCAAATACACCATAACCAACCAGCTGAAGGGGATTGACCTGCTCTTCAATTGGACCATCGAGGTTAGTGTGAAAAGCGGATCTGTGCTACTTGTTGTCCTAGAAGAAGCACAGCGCAAAGACTCCAAGTTCAAGTGAGTGGTGCAAATTATGCCACCCCCAAGCCTTGCATTTTCTCATTCTCTCTCTCTCTCTCTCTCTCTCTCTCTCTCTCTCTCTCTCTCTCTCTCTCTCTCTCTCTCTCTGTCTCTCTCCCCTTCTTCCTTCTCTCCCTCCTTAAGATCACACAACATGTAACTAACAGGGTTCAGAGCTAAGCATGGATTTGACTGTCTTTGGAATTCATGTTCTACCCACTATCCTGTTAGGAAAGAGTAGAATATGGAAATGGATCAGAGGGGAGAATTAAATGTTGGGAAATGTCAACCGTTTACAAAAAGAGGAAGCAATAGAAGAAGATAGGGAGGTCACAGTTTAGGAGTCAAGGGACCGTGCCAAAAGACGACACTTGACACCCAAACCCTCTGGATATACTTTACAAGTTTAGCATTTAATATTGCTGATTTTTCCTTTGTCTTCAAATACAAAAATGACACATGATACATAATAGAAACTTGCAGAGAAAAAAACACAAAGAATAAAATGCCTCCACAACCACAATATAATCAGGTATTTCATAATCTGGTGGATTTTTTCTATGCATAGTTCAAACAGTTAAGATTCATCATATTCATGGATTGGTGTATGTTTCCCTAAAATTTGAGTCCCTTACTTTTTAAACTTTATTTTTAATTATGTGAAGAACGTGTATGTATATGTGAGTACAGGTACCAATGGAGGTCAAAGGTACCAGATTCCATGGTTCTTTGTATATGGTCCTCTGAGAATTTGAACATCACTAAAGTTGATCAATAATAGAATACATCCCCAAACAATCCTCATGTACATTGTCCTCTATGGTGGATACGTCCTTTATCGCCATGCAATACTTTATAAGGGAAAAACCTTGGGCTCTAATTGAGTCATGGAGATGTATGTACTATAAAGAGTATGAATGTTTTATTTATTGTTCATACATGAAGGTACTCATTAGTCTGGAGTTCTCACCATACCAAACAGAAATAAAACCATAGAATCTGGCAAACACATACTGTGCAAACTCAACTGTTTATTGTTCTAAACAACATCCACAAAACATGAATATCTAAATATGGAAGTACCTATCAACCTACTCAGGTAAAAATACAAAGGAAAACCCTTTTATCTATTCATTGAAATTCCATGATTCTATCCTCAGCCATTTGCATTTTTTCTTTTGAACATCTGTCCCTCCATCTTGCCTCCTGTTGCCTGATTTCAACTGAGGTGCTAGCTATTTACATTTTATTCTTAGATTTGAAACCAAAATGACATCTTGGGGCCTTATGGTCTATTCTATCAACAATATTGCTGAAAATGTTAATCAAAAGACATACTGGGAGATCCTTAGTGGCAAAACACCTTTGAATGAAGGTAAGAAAAGCAAAGGAATGTGTTTTTCTTCCCATTGGAAGGCCACATTTTACTAATTCTTTAATTAATGTACTTGGTAAATGTGATACTGTGCATGCTTATAATAGGGTATGTATAGAAACTAAGTATAATATATAGTCATTACTTAAATACTCTGCAATTATTAGTGACTCTTTTTACAGCAAGGTAACTAAATCCAAGAGATGTGATGTGGATTATATATACTGGTGAGTAACTCCAAATAACCAAGAATGTATCAGTGTAGCATTAAGGAAAGAAATAAAAGCACATGCCCTTGGAGCCATTTCATCAACAGCAAGTCCAGATTTGAATTCTCTACCTCATCAAACCTGTGTCTTCCACATTTTGTCTTTTTGTGCATGAATTTGTGCCTACCTGAAGAAGGCTGTCATCTGTCAATCTGTCTGGTCTGTGTGTGCTGTGTGTTTCTGTCATGTTTCTCTGTCTGTATGTGTGTCTCTGTGTCTGTTACATGACTGCTTGTCTGTCTCTCACAAAGGGCTTTGCTGTCTTTATTGAACAGCAAGAGAGCATCACATAGGGAAGGAATGGAATACTTTACAGAAATCTTTAGCAGTACTACAAACATCAGTGTTTATAAACCTGTTTCCATACACAGATGCTTTCAAACGTAATGGTAGACTTGGGGAAGTCACTTTCAACTTCTGTATTTGCTGCTTTCAGCAAATGTTCTGGGTCAGAGACATGAAAGAGTACATCACTTAATATAACCGAACAGTGGTAGCACATGCCTTTAATCCCAGAACTCCAGTGGCAGGGGCAGGTGAATTTCTGTGAGTTTGAGACCAGCCTGGTCTACAAGAGCTAGTTCCAGAACAGCCTCCAAAGCCACAGAGAAACCCTGTCTCAGAAAAAAAAGAACTTAATATCACAGCTATGCATTATCTCTAGTTGTAAAAGTTGAATACATGGGAAATTCAAGGCAAGTGTGTTGATTCTTACACTGTTTTCAGAAAGGGAGGTTAAGCAAATAGGCTGAGTACTCAGTAAGATAACAGTCTTAAGTCTTAAATGACCTCAAGTTGTATTATCAACCCTAGCAGTGAGGTCCAGAAAAAGATTCCAATCTCTTAGAATGCAAGAGGTATTTCAGAATATTGCATCACCATGAGATGCAATGAAATATGAGCCTAAAATTCAACAGAACAGGCAACCAGGTCCAGGTTTCCAAACTCCAGGACAAGTGAGCTTTCTAACATAGCTTCGTCAAAACTTCAGCCCTCACCATCTGTTTATTCTCTCACAAAAAGGAATGTTTGTAACTGCATTTATGTGGTAAACATGGCAAGAAGGAAACTCAGACTCCAGCAAAACCTCAGTGTTTGCATAAATGCTGAAACATCTTGCCACTTAAAGAGCACTGAGGCAGGTTTTGTCTAAGATGTCTACCTAACACTGATTGTTACCATGAAAAGGACTGTAAATCCAAACAGAGTCATAGGAGGCCAGTGCTGTACCTTCAAGGCTCCATTGTTCAGTTTTACCATGGGAGAGATATTTTGCTTGCCATCTACCATATAGTTAGGAAAAACTGGCCAGTCAGAGTTCATGAGCTACATCAACAGGCTTTATAGAAAGCTCCTCTCATAGTCATGATTTACATTACACAAGTAAGCAGTCCGTGTCTATAGCTATAAGATGGAAATACCATTCCATGGGCTGTTATAAGGATTAGAAAAATTGTTTTAAATTATTAACTACAATATCTTCTGCAGATTATGTGTTCAAAGTGCTGCTGTTATTGTCATTTCTCAAGAAATCATTCTGAAATTTTAAAAGGGCTTATTCCTATGTCAATTACTTCCCTTCTCTTAGAGCAAGTACAGTAAAAGTAAAGATATCAGATTCAAAAACATTTGGGCATGAAATTGTCATACTTCCTGTTGCCTGAATAACTAAGAGATAAAAAATATCAACATCGCCGGGCGGTGGTGGCACACGCCTTTAATCCCAGCACTCGGGAGGCAGAGGCAGGCGGATCTCTGTGAGTTCGAGGCCGGGCTGGACCGATAGCCTCCGAAACAATACAGAGAAACCCTGTCTCGTAAAAACAAAAAAAAATATATCAATATCATCCATCCTACTTGCTATGAAAGACTCTCAGCCTACTGCCCTTCCTATTTCTTATAAAATCTTCCAAAAATAAGTGAGATTCTCCCTTAAATACTTTAATTTGAGCCATTATGTTGCATGGTTCCTATGTGCCAGATAAAGCTTCTAATATAAAGGATAACATTTCAGAGAAAATATTTAACAAAATTTTCTACATGAGAGAAAATAGATTGACACATCTTAAAGGGTTACCTCCAAAAGACATGCTCCATAAAATGGTAAGCTAAAAGATGAAAAAGAGAAATCCATAGATATTTGTAAAGTAAAATAAAAAGCAAATACAAGAGAAAAATAAAGTATCTACCAAAAAGAAAAAAAGGAAGATGGAGGGAGGGACAAAGGGAGGGAGGGAAAGAGGGGGGAGGGAAGGAGGGAGGAAGGCGAGCCCATCCATCCTAGGGACTGAAGAGATAGATGGCTTCACAGTTAAAAGCAGCTACTGCTCTTGCAGAGAATCCAGCACCCACATCATGTGACTCACAACAGTCTACAATCCCAGGTCCCTCTTCTGGCTTCCACTAGCACCTTCATACATGTGGTATGCGTAAGCATGCTCTCTCTCTCTATCTCTCTGTCTCTCTCTCTCTCTCTCTCTCACACACACACACACACACACATGGAAGGAAGGAAGGAAGGAAGGAAGGAAGGAAGGAAGGAAGGAAGGAAGACCTAAACGGAGCTAGCAAGCTAGCAAGAGCTGGTAAAGACACCTGGCACCAGGGTTGGTGACCTGAGTTTGATTCCTGGGACCCACATGACAGAAAGAGAGAATCAGCTCTCACGGGTTGTCCTCTGACCTGCATGCACCTACACACATGGATAAGTAATAACAATAAAAGTATTTTAAAAGAAATCCTTAGACATCCCAAACTCATGTTTCTGCCCACTCCTCCCCATGGTGATCTTACCCCTCTAACAAGTTTAATGGGTTGATGTCTTGGCATGGGAAGTTTACAAGCACCGTGGACATTTGCTATCCTCTGCCTCTTTCCAGGTATTGCTTACTATATTCCCTCCAACTATGAGCACATCACAGCCAACTTCACCCAGTACTGAGAAGGAGTGTTTCCTGCTGAATATGACCAAAGGATGAAGTGGCTTTTATTATTTCGTTTCAAATCTATGCCAAGAAAAGTGGATGTTAGCAATGCTACTCTATCCCTGATTTTAAAAAAACACAGAGCCACTGTGTGGAATAAACTGTGCACGATGCAAAGTTCCTGCAGTACTCACCACTGTGACTCATGAAATAAAATGTCTGGCTTCTCAAAACAGACCGTCAGTTATCATTTACGCCTATGGCAAGAGAGAAGGAAAGCGCCAGTGATGGGGAAATCGGTGCAACCTTCTGGACTAAACTACACACTCACTACTACTACAGATGAACCATTAAAACTCCTACTTGTGCCAGGCGGTGGTGGTGCACGCCTTTAATCCCAGCACTCGGGAGGCAGAGGCAGGTGGATCTCTGTAAGTTCAAGGTCAGGCTGGACCGACAGCCTCCAAAACAATACAGAGAAACCCTGTCTCGTAAAAACAAAAACAAAAAAAAAACTACTTGTGCTGCATATACTGAGTGCTCCTTTACAATTCATCTACTACATACAAACACATCTGTATGAAACAAACAAAATTATCCTGCATGCAATTCCAGAATGGTTTGTAGCTCAGTATGTGATGTCATAACTTCTATTTCTAAAAATTTTTCTAGGTAAATTCATGTTTTAAAATGTTCATGGTTTGGGGATGGGGCAGTTAGGTTTTGGCTGTTCTTCAATTCCCAGCGCCCACACGGCAGCTCACAACTCTCTGTAACTCCAGTTCCAGGGGATCCAACACCATCTTCCGGCCTCCATGGACACAGCATGCACACAGTGCACAGATACACATGCACATACAGACACACAAAACACCATACACATAAAATTTAAAACTGAAAAATGTCCCTGCTGATCAAGAGGTGGATTGGTGAATAAAGCACCTTCTGTACAACCATGAAGAACTGGGTCTGGATCCCTAACACCACCTAAAAGAGTCAGGCATGGGATCATGTGAACATCCATAACCCCAGCACTGGGCAGGCAGACATAAGCAAGTGGCCGGAGCGTACCTGCCAGTCAGTCTGACCAAAACAACAGGATCCAGTTCCAGACACAGACCCTGTCTCAAAGGCTAAGATGATGCGGAGCACACTCTCGGAAACACCTGATTGGTCTCTGGCCTCTATGTGTGCACACATGGACAGGCACACCCTCACACATACACACTCACACACACATGCACACCCACATACACCAAACATACACAAAATAAAATAATAGTCTAAAAATACTGTGTGAGAAGAAATCTGGACAGAGAAGCAAAAGGCTCTGAGCCACCATTCTGTACGTGCTTGTAATAAGGACGCTGACTGACCTGGGCAAGCATCCAGCCAACTAAAAACACCAGTTTCCTCCTTGGTAAAATGAGGAACCTGGTCTATCTTTAGTTCAGAAAATGTTAAAGAACTGTCATTCTAGAAGGCATGGTGGTACTGGCATGTAATCCCAGCACATAGGAGGGTTCACAGAATCCAGAATTTGAGCCAGACTGGGATCTATGCAGAGAAAGAAGAGAAAAGGAAGAGAACCTTTTAAGATATGTACATTGTTTATAATAAGATACCTACACAACCAGAAATAAAACACACACACACACACACACACACACACACACACACAACACAGGACGAATTCAAATGTAATTTGACCACAAACTCATGCTCAGGGTTATATAACTCATAGAGCTCAAGAATGCACTTGGTTTGGGTGTGTGACTACAAAAGCACATTGGTGCCGTCTAATGGCCACAAGTGGTAATGCCTAAACTTTGGAGGAACAGTCAGTTACATTTTTATATTTTTATTTTTTTATCTTTTTAATTTAAATTAGAAACAAGCTTGCTTCACATATCAATCCCAGCTCCCTCACCCTCCCCTGTCCCCCCCGCCCCTCACCAACCCCTTCAGCCCCCACCCAATCCCCACTCTGCTCCCCAGGGAAGGTGAGGCCCTCCATGGGGGATCTCCAAAGTCTATCATATCTTCCAAGGCAGGGCCTAGGCCCTCCCCAATGTGTCCAGGCTGAGAGAGCATCCCTCAATGTGGAATGGGCTCCCAAAGTCCATTTGTATGCCAGGGATAAATACTGATCCACTACCTAAGGCCCCATAGATTGCTGAGGCCTCCTCACTCACACCCAAATTTAGGGTGTCTGGATCAGTCCCATGCTGGCCTCTCAGTCACCAGTCTGGGTTACATAAGCTCCCCCCTTGTTCAGGTCAGCTGTTTCTGTGGGTTTCTCCAGCCTGGTCTTGACCCCTTTGCTCATCACTCCCTCCATTCTGCAACTGGGTTCCAGGAGCTAAGTTCAGTGTTTAGCTGTGGGTGTCTACCTCTGTGGTATAGTGGTGAGCATAGCTGCCTTCCAGTTACATATAATTTTGCAATGCTGCCAGGAAGACAGGAAGGAAGATGTTTTCCCCGAGTGAGACGTGTACACAATTGTAGTTGTATGTGCCTTTGATTAGATGTGTGAGTGGCCTATGTAAAGTACAAGCACATGCCTAGTAAGTACACCACCCTCTTAAGACAGACGACCAGATAGACAGATCAGGCAATCTGCAGGGTGAAACACATGACTGCAAGCTCTACAAGCACGCAGTAGTTAGGATACCCAATACATAACACAAAGTTTTAAAGTAACTGATGGGAGATGTCATTCTGAAATCTCTCTCTTATTGGTTGTTCAATAAAGCACTGTTGGCCAATAGGAGAGCAAGATAGGTGGGACTAGGAGTCGAGCAGGATTCTGGGAAAGAGAAACACAGGGAGTCATCATGTAGCTGCCATAGGGATAAGAAGTCTGGAACCTTTTCTCCGGTAAGAGAAATACTTAGATTAACAATTATGGAGTAAATACTTAAGTCAGAGCTAGCCAGTAAGAAACAAGCAAGGCCAACAGCTTCATAATTAATACAGCCTCCTGTGTGTTTATTTGGGACTGATGTGGCTCTGGAACCAGGTTGGCGGGAAGGCTTCTCTCTACAAGTAACCATATTCTTTTTTTTTTCCTTCTTTAAGCAGTTTATTCAGGAACCTTGAAACCATATTCTTTTTTTAATTAGTATACATAAAATGGGTTTCATTATGGGGTGTTCATACTTCATTTTTATTGATCCTCTCCCCTGCCTCATGCCTAGCCCCCTCCCCATCACCTGCTGGTAAACTTCCTCGTCCCTCTTGTTCTCCTTCTGTTTTCATGTCACATATCTTTTCTTCCTCCTCAATACTCAAGACTTGCCCCCCCATTGGTTCCCTGTCTAGTTTCAACACACACACACACACACACACACACACACACACACACACACGTCAAAATAATCAGGGTTTGCCTGTGAGAGACTGAACAAGCAGTTTTACATTGATAAAGGAAAGGTGAAAACATCCGTATGAAAAACAAACTAATATACACACAAGCAAGTCACAAATGCTCAAGTCAAAAGCATGAGGGAAAGCTCGATATCACTCATCAGTGAAGAAATGAGAACTAGTCTGTCACACTGTGTGCTTATGATTCATTAAACTAGCCTGTCACACTGTGTGCTTATGATTCATTAAACTAGCCTGTCACACTGTGTGCTTATAATTCATTAAACTAGGGGATGCTGTCAGGCGTCAGCTTCAGTCTACCACTTTGCCCAGCCTTGGTTCACTGCTTTTATCCATTGTGGAGCTGATATTTTGCTGTTTGTTACTGTCACATCTGCTGCGCGGCCTGTGTCCGAGAACGTGCGGAGGGTGTCGGGTATTGAAAACACAGAGACTCGTTCAATGATATAAAGAAAACTTTAAACAGGCTCCAAAAAGGTTCAAGAAAAACTTCCTAAGAAAGCTCCCACCAGAGAAGCTTCTGCTCTCTCCTTTACCCTGGCTGGTTCTGCTCTGACACCAGAGGTGGATGTGTGTGGGTTTTTGAAGGTGCGGTTAGTCTCTGGACAAGGTCGAGGTCAGGGCGGTTTCCGTGGGAAGGCCTTTCCCAGGAACTTATTGTATCATTTTTAGTAAACATGTTTTTACTAAACATTGTCTTACAGCTGCCTACTCCCAGGCAGAAGGGGAAGTGGCCAGGAACCTATTGTATCATTTTTAGTAAACATGTTTTTACTAAACATTGTCTTACAGCTGCCTACTCCCAGGCAGAAGGGGAAGTGGGTTTCTGCTCAAGGTCTGGTGTTCCCACAGTTACTGCTATTGTATTCCCTCATTACTCTCACAATTAAAAATGGCAACTGCTAGTGGCTAAAGAGAAGGCTCAACAGTTAAGAGCAGTTGCTGCTCTTTAGGAGTACCTTAGCTGTGTTGCCACACCTATGGGCAGTTTAAAAGTCCCTGGAACTACAGCTCCCTCCTCTGGCCTATGTGGGCACCTGCACATGCATGCAAATATGAAATTGTCCCTCCTACTTACAGAGAACATAATTTCAAAACCTAAACGCTCAATACTACATAATACAATGCTGAATTAAATTTAAGGGGAAAAACTGTCCTTCAGATCAGTACTATTTTAAGTAGAGAGATTGCAGAGGAAATAGACAGGCAGAAAGGAGTCTCTGTTTCCTTGTTTTAGACTCTTCCCAATCAAGTAAGTTTTTTGCTTGCCTCTGATCAGGCACCTTGTTTACCTTCCTGTGTTGGGTAGCACCTGTTGTGAGATGAGGCACCTTGCTTACCTTCCTGGAATTGGTAACACCTGTTGTGGGATGAATTACATCTCTTTTTTAAACTGTTGGAGTCCTGATTCCTCTCTGGTCCTTTAAAATGTGACCTTTTGCAGAGATATGGTCTTTATAAAAGTAAACAAGTTAAAGTTATGTCCTTAGGATAGCTTTGTAAAGTGCATCAACGCTTTGGAAACACATGCATTTTATAGGTGTGTAGATTTGTAAGCAATTTCCCAGTATATCTAAAAGCATTATAGATTTTATTTACTGTTTGTCAAATTAATTCTTGAGGACACAGAGATTTAACATGACTTAAGCACAACAGACATATCTCATTTACTAATATCATTTGTCTCCTAAAATCTTGGATACAAATCCTCTTGTTCTGATTACAAAGCTCCAACCTCATTAAAAAAATCATGTGCCCAACTTTTCCAAAAAGATGATTATGTATTATTTCTTTTCCCTTTGTTTTTAATTTGTGGTATGGTCCATTCACTAAGGTCTCTGAAGTCACAGAGACCATGTTCAAATTTTCCATTGTAATGCTGAGAAAAATCCTATGCAAATAATTACAATGGCTTTGAAACAAACATTTTTAAAAGTCATCAGCTCATCACTAGGGCTCACAAGTTAATAAAAGCAGAGAGAAATATTGAAATCTCTACCTTCACTTTGTGTCTTTATTCTGGCTAAAGACCCAGAGATAAGTCACTGTCTTTAACTTTCCCTCTTGGGTTCCCTTCTTTTATTTTAATCATACCGTGTGTGTGTGTGTGTGTGTGTGTGTGTGTGTGTGTGTGTGTGTGTGTGTCTGCACCACATGCATGCGCGGACAGAAGAGGATGTATGATCCCTTGCAACTAGTGTTATAGACTGTTATGAGCCACAATGTAGCTGCTGGGAATTGAACCCAGGTCCTATAGAACAGCAGCCAGTGCTCTTATCTACCCAGCCACCCCTCCAACTCCTTCTCTTGAACTTCTTGAAGGGAAAAACTTGGAGACACACTGCTGCCCCTCTTCTGAGAAGATAAAGGCTGCATCTTGAAACAGAATTTATCTCTTATAGAAACAAATTAATTCTGTTAAAGCTTTGCCAGCTTGAGATGACTATGGTGCCAAACATAATTGAGGCAACGATCAACCAGACACCTTCACCAAGACTGCCTAATTATGCATACGTCTTAGCTGACTCCCTACCCTGGGCCTCTATTCATCCTCTATTTAAATTTAAAGCTGAAGGCATGGTGGAGCATGCTTTTAATCCCAGCACTGGGAAGGCTGAAGCAAACAGATCTCTGTGAGTTCGAGGCCATCTAGTCTACATAGTGTGAGGTCTAGGACAGCCAGGATTACATGGAGAGATTCGGTCTCAAAAAAAGGAAAGAAAAAAAAAGACAATAAATGAAGCTCATGTCAGGGCCATGAGGGCAGTCTTGGATAGTCACCGGGCCCCTTCATCTGTTGTTTCAAATGAAGTCACTTTAAATGAACAGTAGGTTTCCGCCATTACTTTCTCTTTAATTGGCATATTGGGGACAAGTGATCGAACTCTGTCGGGACTGTCCAAGTCTGGGCTTTTACCTTGAAAACTCCAGCTACAGCTCTTCTCGTGAATTTATCAGGACAAAACTCCGAAAGCGCCCAGTAAATAAGCCAATGACAATGGTATCTTCCTAATGTCCTCTAGAAAAGTGACATAAAGCAGCGAAAATTAAGGGAACAACTTTCCTATCAAACCTCAGGCTCTCACAGCTTCCTACACCAAGGAGAAAATCCTGGGCGGTCACCACGCAGGAAAAACTGGAGACCCCCACTGAAAGACGGAACGCTTTCTGGGTGTGGCTTGGCGCGCCAGACTTTTAACCTGGTCCGGAACCAAGAATCCAGCTCAACTTTCCTCCGCTTCCGTCGGGACTCTCTAAGGGAATGGGGTGGATGACGTCACTTCCGGTCTTGGGTGACTTCCGGCCGACTGAAATCCGGACTTCACAGAGGGAGGGAGCGCTGTTGTCGCCCGGAGAATCTTAACCCGGCCGCTCACGCGTGGCCATGTGGAGGCTGCTGACGCGCACTCCCGCGCCGCTCCTGCGGGTGCACTTTTCAGGTCAGAAGAGCTGTTTGGTCTTTTAAAAGGACGTTCCGCTGCCCGTCCTCCCCACACTCCCAAGTATGCGCTTACTCTTTTAAGACCTGCGCTTTCCTGCCGCCACCTCCGCTGTGCGGATCCCTGGGCGGGCATGTGCGCGAGTTGGTGCTTCGAGACCCTGCTAGCTCCCCTTGGGGCCCCGCACCTCTAGACACCTCTGTCAGGGATGATCCAGAGTGTACCAATAGTGATTTGGTGTGTCTTTTTAGATCCTTGGGCAGCCCTGCCCACCAGCGCTGGTCTGAAGACCCTCCTCCCGGTGCCGAGTTTTGAAGGTGAGCGCCTGTCATTGTCACTTTTTTCTCTGATGAACCTCAGCGGATGATAAAAAATATCCTAGGTGTTCTTGGTGCTTTCCGTCTTCACTGAGGGATTCAACAATTGTTGTTGAATGTAGGTAATGAAAGCTTACCGTGCTGACAAGCAGTGTTCTGAGAACTAGAGGCCAAGAGCGTAAAAGTTCCTCACCTATGCGGAGCAACTAACTCTTGGGTTAGTTCCCCAGCATCCTACACTGCTATGTGGCTCCTGTGATCTACTAAGTCAGAGCTAGCTCGTCATCAATTAGACTTGATCTTCTCTCTAAAGAGAAGATACATATATGCCGACACTTAGCAATAGTAACCAGGTCAGCTGCAACCCTGTAAATCTACCTTTACTCTAATATACTGAGATCTCCAAAACTGCAAACAGTCCGGGCATCTGAGGGTCTTCTCCACATAATTGTTAATGTACTGTGCGGGCTGGAGCAATGGCGCAGCAGTTAATAGCACTTGTTGCTCTTGCAGAGGATCCGGGTTCAATTCTCAGAACCCCACATGATGGTTCACAACCATCTATAATCCCAGTTCCAGGGGATCCATCAATAGATGCAGGCAAAGCACCCAAAATGCTCTTGGAAGTGCATACTAACTTGTAGATGAAAGAAAGCATTACCAAGTTTCGAAGGAGTTGCCCATAGAAGTTAATGGTGGCTTTTATAACTTGGCATTTCAGTTTTATAGTTCTACTGACAATATGATGAATCTTCGGGGTTTCTTGATTTGTTTATTTCTGTCATGAAGCCATACTTTCTTCACGTTTGATTTTTTTTTATTAATCACAATTATTTTTCCGAAGTTGCCAAATGAGGGTTAATACTAATCAGAATTCCTAAGTTGTTTCTCAAGAAAAATACAGCACAGTTGAAGACCATATTTTTTGTACAATATAGTATTCTGTACCCATTAACATTCAGAGGGCAGTGACTTTTTTTTAAGAACATGCTCCTGCTTTGATGTTTTAACTGAATTAATTGTAAAATGTCTATGCCCTAAGTTCCTCTTTAAAATGGAGATTAGAACACCACCTGCCCAATTATCTGTTTCTTGATCTAGGTGAAAATTATGTCTTCTTGTTTTCAATTTTTGTTTGTTTTTACTATGTTATTTTGTATGCGTGGGGGTACACTCGTGCCATGGTGTATATGTCGAGGTCAGAAGACAACATCTGGGGAGTCAGTTCTCTCCTCTCACCATGTGGGCCCTAAAGATGCAAAACTCAGGTGGGCAGGGTTGAGAGCAAGTGCTTTCTACCAGTTGAAACATCTCATAGGCCCCTTGTTTTCATCTGATCCTTCACTTTGTAATACCCCCGTCCCTTGTCCATTTAGTGTATGTAGTTTTCAAATATTCAAACTTTAAAAAAAAAAGCCCCAAATAGTATTCAGGCATCTGGTGTGGTGATGCACACACTTAGTCCAGCACTTCTTACAGGATTGAGGGTACACAGGGATCACCACCTGATCGCCATGAAGATTCCCATTACAGATGCTGAACCTAGAGCAAGGGGCTACTTGTTTGGTTTAGAAACATCTGCAGAAAGCACTGTTATAGTTGAAAGATTCCAGTGTCACTGGAAACATCCACAGGAGAGTAATAACCTTTGGGATTAATATTATTCAGTGACCTAAGACTTCCGCTTGATGGTGTGAATCTTTATAGGGAGAATGTAGGTCTCCCGAGAAGTGTAGCTTTGTTTATTCCTGGTTGCTTTTGCCCTGCTAGATGTCTCCATCCCTGAAAGGTCCAAGCTTAAATTTGTTGAAAGAGTCCCACTTGTGCCAAAAGTAAGGAGAGAACCTAAAAATTTGAAGGACATACGAGGACCTTCAGCTGAGGCCACTGAATTCACAGAAGGCAATTTTGCAATTTTGGTGAGTGATAAAAGAAATTAACAAAGTTTTCTGCTCTTTGAATTATACTCTCTTCATCCACATTTATTACAACTGCCACCCCTAGATGCTATAGTCCAGTTCCTCTTGAGTAGATGTAGATGGAGGTTATTGGGCACCCAAGCAAACATGAGTTATGTCTTTCTTCAGGGTAGGATTGAAATCAGCAGCCTGTACTAGATGCTTGAGAATGAGGATAGCATGGAATTCTGTGTAGAAGCCCTGTGATACTGTCACAGTGGATCTGATAACCTACCTGGTGGCTACTAAGAATCCACAGGCAGGTAGCCTGTACCACAAATATACACTGAGCAGATAGGTGACTCATATCTGGGTGAAATTGTGTAGAACAAAATATTAGTTTTTATCTTGCTATTTCAAAAAGTGTTTAGTTTAAAACTGTAAATGTTTATGCCAGGATCTCCACTTACTATTTCAGATGGTTTGGAACTATAGAGGGGGTGAGCGAGGCTACTGCGAAAGCAGGGAACAGAGGTGCTGCCTCACTTGCCCTATTAAAACGAGATCTTTTCAAACTTTTGGTAAAAGTGAAATATTCCTGCTTCACTACTTGTTGAGTGGTTTCCGTAAAACTTAATGACAGTAGTCTCACAAGTGGCTATGACGCAGCCAGAGTGGTAGCTGCAAATAAAGCCTTTTTCCGTGGCCTGCATGAGCGCTGCTGCTGCCCCCTAGAACCTTGTGTCCACTCTGCATTCCTCCTGCACCCTGCAAACACTGGCTTCTGCTCAAACTCACCAAGCCCTTTGCTCTGTTGGGGCATTTACATCTGTGCTTCTCTGGGACTCTCCTCTCGACTAGCTCTTAGCATTCCATCCTCAGCTTGAATTGAAGTGTCTTATCTGCAAAAAGGCCCCCCCTGAGCTCTCCTTGGGAGTGACTCTGCCCTTGCTGTCCTTTATTACTGTAACCAAGGTGTTTCCTCCACATTACTAGTCAGAACTTACGTTTATTTCAGGTGTCCCATTAAAGCCAGTTACTGTAAAAGAGGAGGCATAATAGACTCCATAAAAGATTTCTAAGTCCCCTTATGTTCTAATTTTCCTATTCATTTTTAGGCACTGGGAGGTGGTTACCTCCATTGGGGCCATTTTGAAATGATGCGCCTGACAATCAACCGCTCTATGGATCCCAAGAACATGTTTGCCAAATGGCGAGTACCAGCTCCTTTCAAGCCCATCACGCGCAAAGGTGTCGGGCAGCGCATGGGGGGGCGGTAAAGGTGCCATTGATCACTATGTGACACCTGTGAAGACTGGCTCCCTCATAGTAGAGTTAGGTGGACGCTGTGAATTTAAAGAGGTACAGGGTTTCCTGAACCTAGTTGCCCACAAGCTGCCCTTTCCAGCAAAGGCTGTGAGCCGTGAGACTCTCGAAAAGATGCGCCAGAATCAAAAAGAAAGAGAAAATAACAACCAAAATCCCTGGACCTTTGAGCGCATAGCCACTGCCAACATGCTTGGCATTCGGAAATTCCTGAGCCCATATGACTTGACGCAGAAAGGGCGTTACTGGGGCAAATTCTACCTGCCTAAGCGTGTGTAATAAAGGCACAGGAACCCATGTGCACACACTCTTGAGACCGAATCTGCATCTTCACTGTCTAGGATCTTCCGTGGTTCTTGGACCATAGTTAAGCACATGAGTAAGTGACTTCTGAAAAGTTGTGTCATCTGATTGTTCCTAATTAAAGTCTGAGTGTAACCTCAAGGTACAACTTCTCACTGGTCAGTTTCAGTTGCTTAAAAGATTAAGAATGATTTGGCCTAGCCAGCTGTGTACAGCATGTCATTAATCCCAGCACTCAGAAAGCAAAAGCAGGCAGATCTCAATTTAGTTCAAGGCCAGCCATGGCTATAAGCAAGATCGTGTCTCAAAAAAAAAAAAAAAAGAAAGCCTGGTAGAACTCTTAGTTTCTGCCTTGTACATATGTCCAGGACTAAAACTTGTTTTTACATCTCACAGCTGGAAATAAATGTGCACACTGCCTAGTTTGACATTTTGCTCACTACAAATGCATTTTTTAATAATAAGGGTAAAAATTACAGTACCTAGATTAGTAGGTTCAACAGATATTTATTAATGCCCAGCTACCCATCTTCTGTCATTCTCAGAAGGGGAAACATGAAATATGACAAGGAATGTACCATTTAGCAAAAGAACTAATAACAAAAGTTGAAACCTTTTGTGCTTACTAGGTCTGAAACTATCTAGCATTTTGGCTCCCTGTGTCCCTTCAGCATCTAAGGTATGTGGAGTACACAAGTTACTGCTGGATAAATGAGGGTCCCGTGTGATCCAAACTTCATGGTTCCAGCTCCATTTGTCCGTAACAAGATTAATCTATTTCTCTGAGCTAGTCAGTATCCCATATTCAAACTAAAGGAAACATGAGTTGATAGAAGTACTAAACCTCTTGCTTCTGAAGGTGGGTAGAAAACAGCGCACTGACAAAACATTGTTTTTCCATCCAGTTTCTTAAAAAGTAAGATCTCCACAAAGAACAGAAGTATTTCACTTATTTTCAAAAGGATATTTTTACTCCCAGATTTTTAATTTATCTTAATGTCTTCAATGTAATAATCTCTAAATAAATTATTTTAAATGGAAACCTTGGATTGGAGATGTGCTTGAACCAGTTTCTTGTACCTGTCACTGACCAGCAGTTTCTGCTAACACAGATATGGTGTGATCTGAAGTAATAGCCTGATCACATTTTTTTCCCCTTACACCTCCCATTGTTCCAGATCACAAAGTGTGCTGGTTTGGTTGGCTATTGGGAGCTGAATCATATTATAAACGTCTTTGTTTTGTTGGAGGAATAGATTTAGTTAATGAGCGTTCATCCTAAAACCAACCACCATCTCTGCCTCACAAATGAGAGTCTATTAATAGAAATCTATACCACCAATAGAAACCCAACTTCTATTTACCACCCCCCTACCAAAAAAAAAAAAATCACTGTAAAGTATATGATATAGTAATGGGGGTTGTGGCATTTTTGCATAAGCCTCTGATAGTAATAAACCATCTCAATAACTTAAAAAACCCAGCCTAAGAACTCATCTCTGAAATCAAAGCTTGACTACAAGTAAGCAAATATGTGAAAGTAGTTACCTATGCTAAACAGTAGGTACATGGTAGTGTTAAGATAGGCATGGTGCCGAAAACAGTCTATGCTTTCAAATATTTTTAGACCCTCAGGAAGGAAGCAGACATCTGGTTGGTTAAGGTTGAGGCCTGGAAGAGCCTTAAGAGTAGAAGTTGAGTACCATGATCTAAGACACAGACTCACAGAGTTCAATTAAGACCCTATGAGTTGGGCACTGTATAATACCCACCTCTTCACCATCATCCAGTATTCAGGCTCTCTGTGTTGTACCCAAACAGGGACCCATTATGCTTCTCTACCAACAGGTCTGCCCTGTAAAGACCATCTAAACCAGCAACATATTGCTATGCTTCCTGTTCCTTCACCCATATCCCCTTCACTTCTGCATTTTCATTAATTTGTTCCCCCTTTGTGTAATATGTAATAAGCAGTTGAGTGGTACCATGTGTTATACATTTCCTAATGAAAAGAGGCATAGCTGTTGAGGACTCTGAAGGGGAGAAGTGATGGCACCAGAGAGGTGGAAGATTGGAGATGCCTGTTGAGATTCCATCTGTGAGAGCAGAAGGAAGTAACAGAAAACGGAAAAAAAAAAAAAACCGTATTACACAGCATGGTATTCACGGCCAGGGTACCACCTCTCCTTTGCAAGGGTGAGAAACTATTCTCAAAACTGTACTGGCTTGTTCTAACCTTGGAAGTAAGGGATTTTAAAGTAAGGTCAATGAAAAACTTAATTCTTACTTACTCCTTTTACCACTTCCAGATACAAGGGCTCAGATTTTACAGGAGAAATGAACATCCCTTGCTGTTCAGAAGCACTATACTACCAGACTCAATCATGGGACAGACTTTTACCTTGTCTCCCCATCTCCCTCAATGACTACCTACTCCCAAATATTGTTCACCTACTTCTCTCCAAAACATCCCTTTCCTTGGTTTCTCTAACATTCACCTATTCCTGCGCCTAACCTCCATCCCTTATTAGGCAGTCTGGTGACAGTGAAAGCAAGCAGAATACAAGCTGTCAAGTAAGTGACAGCAGGCCTGACCCTCCCCAGACAGCTCACCTTTTTCAGGCAAATATGCCCCCAATGGTAGAGGCCAAGATGATGGCAAGGATAATACAGCAGATCATGATCATGATCTTCTTCTGCTCGTTGCAAGGAGAGAGAATTACATGAGAAATGGCATTACCATGCAGATATACATTCTGATGAAAAGGAGACAGCTACAAGTAGACATGGAAGAGGGAAGGAAGGGACAGGAAATGCCAGAAGGAAAATGGATGGATCTGGCTTGTTCACAGAAATGCTTCCAGGTTAGACTTAAAATCAGATCCACAGGATCTGCATATTGCCCTGTGTTCTGGATGTATTCCCAACAGATGGCCTACTTCCTATTAGAGCAAGTTGAGTGGCAGTTTCTTCTGGGGCACCAAAAGTCACCACATGGTGGCACCAGATCATCAAAGTCTTCTGCAGGGAGATGGACCCAGGCCTGTTTTACAATCAATATAAACTCATTTATTTTTAAATTAGCAATAAAATAATCAAGTTTACATTTTAAAAAATATGAACAATAATGGCCCTTCACATGTGGCATTCATTTCAAACTTTCATCCCCTGAACTCACTGTTAGGAGAGAGAAGGCCTGCACTGAGGGTTTTGTCCCCTCCTAGCTGGAGCTGTGTCCTGTCAGACATCACAGCCATAGGGAGGAGGGCATCCCTGTGGCTCTGTCTTGAGTGCTAGGTGACTAAAGAAAGAGCCTTTACAAAGGAAGCTCTTGGGCAGTGCCTGGATTGGAGTGTTTACCCTGCCCCACAAAACACTGAAGTTGGGGCTTAAATACCCTAAATCGGGGGTACTGGAGACCACCAAAGGTCTAAAGCTTACTACTAGGTAGCAATCACTACATAAAGATTTCCAGGCTGTTGCTTCCATGATAAGAATTATGGGAGATGAGCCTCCCAAGTCTCCCGCCAGTGCAGATAACATCAGATAGCTGTGGGATGTTCTCTGGACTACCCTCTTGTAGGCAGCAGATGGGAATCAATAAATATTACACTATGTATTATGTAGAAAATTTCAACAGGAATCAACTCAGCCCTTACTCCAAAGGTCTCATTTGATTCCCATCTCAGCAGCCATCTAGAAAACAAGCTTCGTGATGGCAAGGGGAAAAAAATTACATTTCTACAATGATTCACTTGAGGTAAACATATATCCCTTACCTGATTTTAGCCAAGCTGTTGTTTACCTTGTCACTTTTTTCTTTCTTTCTTTCTTTTTTTTGAGCTCAAGAGTATCTTATAATTTTCCTACTTTCTGAGAGGCAGACAATTATGTACATATCTCTCATACAGTACACTTGGAACACACAAATGACTGACACTTCAGAGCCTGAGACTGTAGCACCTTGTCCCTGGCCCTGTTGTAAATCTCTGGTTCTGCTTGGCCTCAAAGTAATGACTTCACAAAGCAGTTCTCTAACAGTGTCTAGCCAGTTTCCAGCTTCCAAGTGGAAGCATATTCCATATCCTCAGTCTTTGCCAATGGTAGCTTCAGAGGACTGTCATTCTGATCCCTCTGAGTAAACAAAAATGAATACAGAGTAAAATCTTAGGTGTCCCACAAGCTGAACTTAGAGCTTAATTAAAGGTGGCTTTCAAATAAGTCAACTTGTAAGGCCAAAATGATATCTGTTAATCCTCATGTGTGCAGGACATAGGACAACAAACTAAGGACTAGCATCCTGCCAGCTAGGGGCTCTGATCCAAGTCACACTACTGGCAAACTTTGAAGAACCCTTCTATTTTGTTAGTTACTCCCCTACAAAGTATATTCCAGGAGAATATTCCATGAGGTAGAAATACAGCGCCTCAGGCTAGTCTCACAGGGACTTTCCAAGGCACAATGCATAATTGACACACTAGAAGGAAGGAAAAACGGGGTTGCTTCACACAGTCCAGGAGGGAAGGTACTTCAGCTGCTAGGATGGGAGGTGATTTTGAAGAGAACTCGGGGCTGCATCAGGTAGGTTAGATTCCTCCAGGGGTAGATTGCTGAGCCAGGTCCAAGGGTGGTTACAAGGAAATAAAGGAACAGGTGCAACCTCGTTCTCAGGAAGGCCATTAGAACTCCGTTCCCATCTGGAGACAAGAGTGGTCAGGCCAAGCTGGAGTGAAATCAGGTTCTAAGAGAGGTACGGAGAGGGGCTGATCAGTATACAGGACAATGCTAAGGAATGAGGAATTAGCCACAAACCCCCAATGTGGAGATCAAAGATCAGAAAAGCCTACAAAAAAGAGCATGCAGAAGTCAGCACTAAATTGAAATAGCCCAGGAACAAACCCAAGGCTGCATTGTGAAAGAATAAAACCTCTACATCAGTGTTGCTCAACGTTCCTAGTGCTGCAACCCTTTAACACAATTCCTCAAGTTGTGGTGACCCCCAACCGCAAAATTATTTTTGTTGCTACTTCATAACTAATTTTGCTACTGTTATGAATGATAATGTAAATATCTGTGCTTTCTGATGGTCTTTTGGGGGTCACAACCTACAGGTTGAGAACCACTGCTCTCGGTAAAGGAGTTCCATGGTGGTGGTAGTGGAAGGGAGAGACTCACGATAGAATACATGTGACATGAAAGGTGAACAGAGAGCTAATGGGGTTGGGAATCCAGCAGGAGGCAGGTAGCATCAACAAAAAATACAGACCTAACATAATGAACCCCATTTGTATATTAATAGTAGGACCAAAAAATATCTAGGCCACTTACAGGTCTTTGTGCCACAAACTGTCACCTGTAGAAGGACATGGGGCTGCACAATCACTAGTTGAAAACACCTGTTGCCTTTCTGGCACATAGCAGCTCTCCTCTTGAATTCAAGCTTCAGAAGCATCCTATATCCAAATCCCCTCTAGGAGTCCTCCCTTCACTTAGGAAGCAGACAGGCACAATAAAAAGACTACAGAAAATCTCAGGTATTATACTATGGCTGATTCATCTTGAAAGTGATGTAAGAGTGGGCAAGTTTCTCCAGTGGCTTTCTGTAAGTTAGGGGCACTGATGGTGTCCCAGCACTGTAGCTGCAACTGCAAAACGTAAACCCAGATTGTCTGTCATGGGTTGGTATGGAAGACTGATAAGCCTCCACCTGGGAATACTGGCAACATGCAATAAACCACATATGTAACTTCAGAGCAACTCAATGCTGTGCAGTCTGGTTAGTCAACTAAAAGTAATAGTGTTAACCTCCTCAAAAATGAGTCCTCTACATTCTGAATTCTTGGGATTAGGAATGAGTATTGATAGGCATCATGAATTTCAAAGCATCTTTCATCTGAGGCTATGAAAAGATAACAACTATTACATCTTTTTGTTTTATTTTACTATATTCTGCATTGAGATAGTCAAGCCTGAGCACAACACTAAAACTTTATAAACAGAATTCATCAGGGACTAGAAAGATGCCAGGATAAAGATAAGGAATCAACCTATGAGAGCTTGATTGCCTCATCACTGATAACTCTCAATGTAAAGTTGAGCACTTAAGATTTAATAATCTGACCTTCAGGTCCCCCATCACATGGAAAGGGAGAAATGCAGGGAAACACTGGGGTGGGACCAGAGTAAAATGAAGGATCAGCCTGGTGTCCACGCCCAAGTTTGCACCAGCTCTCAAGGAGGTTCGTGCTTGTTACCTCAGTAAACTACGCAAAGCTGAGAGTATGTGAACCTGTCACATGTTTACAGAAATAATATTATAAGATAATTTCTCCTGTCTATATCTTATAAGCATTTAAAATGACATATTGTTTTATTCAGAAGAAAAAGAAAGTTCTTAAGTCCTAAGAACTACTAACTAGGTCATCTATCATGTTTGTCGATGTCAAGTCTAGTTTACTGGCCAGCTATATCTTGATAAATTTCAGTTGCTAGCCTAGAGTTCTCTGGCCTTTATAGACAACAACAAACAATACCTTATTTTATAAAGAGAAACTAAGATCTAGAACAGCACTCTTCTAGGCCCACTGTAAGCTGTGTGAGTTTGACCCTTCTCTAAGACTTAAGTGTTTCTACTTCTAAAATAATACTAGGTGCCTCATAAGAACGTTTGTGAGGATTCTGTTACATGCACAAGGTGTTTAGCAGACTCTGCCATGAGTTAACACTTAAAAATGGTACAAGTACCTCATTCAAGAGTCAACCACTCAGCCAAAGCATAAAGCTTCAGTTTTGTTGAAAAAACAGACAAGGAAAGCAACTAAGAATTTAGATGACAGCTCCCAGAATATACCCAACATACACCCAAACTTCCTGAGCACAGTCAAAATGAGGTGTCGAGTGTGCCAAGCAACAAGACAAGGTAGGAACAAAGTCTTCAGGCTACAAACAAAGACATGATCAATATCCTGCAGCCAGAACCCAAGAACGGAATTTTAAGAAAATGAAAAAAATCAAGGCTACCAAGAGTTTTAAAGCTCATTGTGACAGCCATTAGGAAAGAGTAGAATTCTGAAGTCCCAGACTCATTTCCTCAGGAGGAGGCAATCCAGAGTCCCCCAGACCATTCATCTACTTACATTTCAGTGCAGCAGCCCCTTAGGCCACTCTTACTTCAGCCCAACGGACAGTCCAATAATCAACGCTAAAATGCCCAGCAACACAACTACTACCACAATGATAATTATCAATTTCTGGAGAAAGGAATAAGAAACAAAAATAAAATCATTATTAAAAATTAATAAAATAGCAACTCATCCAAAATTCAGCACTTCTCATCTCTTTTACCAAGAAAAAAAATCTTCTTAATCCCAATAAAAAATGCACACCTCTCTATAAAAATGTTCTCATGTATATTTTACATTTCTTCAATTCCTTTTCGCCTAGTCGTCGAGTAGAAATATGGAGTGCCTACAGCTCTCAGTTCATAGGCTTGCATATGTGCACTCATGGCAATCGGTATCATGAGGTCTCTTAGCAGCACTTGACCAATCCATAAAACAGTAAGTTTGCCTTTTCAACAGGGAGCATAAAGATATCTGACATAGTCCTAACCACCAACTTGTATTCATCTGTCCTCTTAAAGTTCAGTATATACCTCAGACCACATATACTGAATAGGTGTCCAAAGTATGATTTAACATAGATTCAGATAAAAAAAAATAACTTGCCAGCTCCCTGAATAGTTGCAGAAGCAATAGAAGCAGTTAGAAGAGAAAGAACTAGAGAATAAAAATATCAGCACCCAAGAGAAACAAGAGTAAAATAGAGAAGTTGCCATAACTGGATGCTCACAGTCAATGCGGACAGAAACTTCAAAGTTCTTGAGCATAGAGCCAGGAGGGGCAGGTTGATAGGGTGGAAAGAGATGAATAGGTTGTGAATGTCAGGCCTCCCTCCTATACTGCTGAGTGGCCTGAAGTCAGCTGCATATCCTCTGACCCTCAAATTGCTTCATCTAGAAGTAGAGAAAGGAGGTACTTCCATGAATAAGTGGTAACTTTTACATAACAATTAGCATCTGTGCTAGGATCAAGTTACAGAAAAAGAATGGGGGACCAGGTGGAAGATGTTACCAAAGATCCAAGGAGCTGTGTAATGTGTTAAGGGGTCATAGGCTACATTCAGGAAATTAGTGATAAGACCTCGGCCATGTCTCCAGCCTACAGGGGTGCTCAAGTGTTGATTCTTGGGCCCAAAGCATGTGATAGCCAGATCCATACAAGGTACCCTGGGAAGGAAGGAAGTCTCTAGGAAAAACTATGGTAGGGGTTTGGAAGAAGCTGGGACAGAGAGGGGGGACATGGGCTCAAGGACAGAGGTATAAAGGTGACAAAAGACAGGAAGAGAAGGTACAAGCAGAGACTGAGGAGCTCACCCTCCGGGCTTCACTCTGATACTTCACAGCCTTTTTGGTATCTGCCACAGCCCGTTCCACAAAGCCCACTGACTGGTCCATGTTGTTCTCAATACGGTCAATCATGGCTCCCTTTCCCCAGATGCAAGATGTGGTGGCAACAGAAACAGACAGAAGGAGGGAGAAAAGGCGCAATAGCAAACAAAATGGACTCGCTTGTCTCAAGACAGAAGGAAAACCTCACCTTCCGAGCCTGACCCTGATACTTCATGGCTTTTTTAGTTTCATCCCGTGCCTTCTCCACATGGTCCACGGTGTGCATGACATTCAACTCTATGTTATCTAACATCTCACCCTGGAAAGGAGACACAGTCACACCTGTTAACCCATGCACAACAGCCCCAGCTAATGTGGTGAAGGGACCCAATAGTTTTCATGCCAAGACACACAGAAACCTTAGAGAACAGCCTTATGTTAAGCAAACATTTCCATTTCCCATGTGATGACCTATAACTCCCCAGCTTTAACAGTGGTCACTCATTCTATAAATCCTGGTAGGTCACTACTTCCTTGAGATCAGTACTGTGTTGAACATCTGAAGCAGTTTTTCGAGATGTTTAGTAACTGTGTAAATATACACAAAGACATTCTCTCTCTCATTTTTCTTTAAGTTTCCTATCACTTAAGCATATAGGGATGAACCAAAAAAAGAAAAGCTCCTATTTTTAGAATATCACCAGGATTCTGGCCCCTTCTTGGCCACTCAGACCCAAACCAAGTTCATTCAGCCTAAGATGAATTCATTCACTACTGTAAGACAGCACCTGGCACATAAAAGGTATTCAGTAAGCATTAGGTTGACAACAGTAGAAATTTCCATGCTCCTTAAGCAGTAGGTGTTGGGTTTACCCATGCTCATCTTCCCCTCAAAACAGTAGGTTTTTAATAAGAGTCCCAATTACTTTCCAGCTTTTACTTCCTATCAAGGAAGTTTGGTGACTTCAGTTACTTCCTGAGGATCTGAAATAGAGCACTCCCCTCACCCACCCAGACCTTTCTCAAGCCCTTTCTATCACTATAGGGTTCTCAATAAGCATAGCAAAGCACTTACCATCACTTGAAACTCAAACCAGATCCTCAGCAAGGCAATATGGTAGGAAAAAGAAAAGTGGGAATGGAGGGATTGAGAAAGGGTCTCAAAGGCCAGAAAGAGGAATGGGAGAAAAGCACCAAAACCAAGGGGCAGAGAACTAATGTAAAAAAAAAAAAAAAAAAAAACTAGACAATCAGTGCTTAGGCTTCAACTAGGTTCAGTGGTCTACCTACTAAGCAATTCTGTCCAGCTGGAGCACTGTGACCCTGCATGGTATCTAACTCTATCCCAAAAACCAGGGACAAACCACCTAACAGAAATGAAGACCATACGCAAACACTACTGAATTCCACCTGAACAGACATGCCTTAGGACAAACTGTCAAGTATCATAAGTGTTTCTATAAATATTCTTTTACTGATTCTTCATTCATGCCTACAGTTGATTAGCAAAAAAAAATGCCAAAAAGCTCAGAAATATAAAAACAAATAAAACAAAACTGGAAGAATTAACCTGCTTTTAAGTTCTACAGTGAATTGGAGGGAAAAATTTTTCAGTAAAATAATTCATATCAGTTAAACTGACTGTCAAGGCTTTGTCAGCAAGACTTACCCCTCCCCTTTTTCTTAAGGAAGGGTGGGTCTCATGTAGCCCAGGCTGCCCCTCAGATTTGCTCTGTATTAAAAGATAACCTTTAGCTTCTGATCCTCCTGCCTCCATCTCCCAAGTACTGAGATTATAGGTATATGCCACTATGCCTGGTTTATGCAGATCTGGACCAGAGGATGGCTTGGACCCAAAGCCTCATGAGTGTTAGGCAGGCACCCTATCAACTGAACTACACATTCCCCAGCCAAAGAACCCATGTCTCTACTTTTTTGGGGGGGAGAAAGGGAGTAAAAAGATGCTGGGTGAACTGGGCTCTTGTCATAACATAGGAAGCTTCATTACTTAACTAGAATCACTGTGATACTGAAGTAACAGTTAGAAATAACAAGACTGAGCTGGCTCAAATGCCCACACTTGATAAGAATGCACACCTCTGCCTCAGACACTAGAATTTTGTTGCTCCATGGTGAAAATTCCCTATTCTCTGCCCTACCAGATCTCCAAAATGTCATTTATGGTTCTCAAGGAAATGTGTGCTTTTCTCCCAGCCAGCTTTTCTCCCAGCCAGCTACCTGATTCTCCACCAGCATGGCGATGTCCATAAACATGTCATGGAGCTCCTTGATGCTGCTCTCCAGCCTCACGATGTCCTTGTGCCGACCCTCAATCTCACTGAGGGCTTGCTTGGAAATCTGCGAGTCGATGATCTACAACAGGCCCCATACAGACACGCTTGTAACAGACTGCCCCTGCAGAGCCCTCACACCCCACATAAGCTCCCTCCCCTGCACAGCTGCAACTGCAATGAAGCTCCCCCGTGACCCTCCCTGTCCATGGTGCCTCGGTCACTCACTCCAGAAGTGAAGATGGTAGGGTTACCACTCTCCAGCATCTCTTCCAACTCCTCATCTGTTGTCTTCTTGCCAGCTTTGTAACAAAAGAAATACAACATAAAATATAAGATCAAAGCACACCTCCATATGAAATTTCCTCCCAAACAAACACTGACTGCGACAACCCTATGACTCTTCTCATTTCTCTCCCAATTCAATCCATCTTGAACATTATCAGCAGTCAATCCCCACCCTTAGCACAGATTCCATTACTTCTCAGCTCAAACTGCTAATTAGCCCCATCCACCATACCACAGACCCCAAGACCCTCAAGACAGTGCACAATTTGTGGGCAGTCCTCCCTAAACCTTACACAGCAATTTCAAACATACCCTCCTTCCAACCCTGAACAACTAGCCACTCCTAATCAAACACATCTGCCTTTTCTTGGTAACATATTTTTCACACAGCTCCTCCCACTTGAAGCCATTTTGCCTGTAAGGCCTACCCTTCCATATCACTGAATTCCTAAACAATGGAACTTTGTCAGCTCTTCAAATCTTCACAGCAACTAGCACTACACCTTTGTTTCATAAATGTACTTTCCATTTAATAGCAAAATGATACAATGGGTTCTTAGGAGAGTGACTGTTTATTGGGTGACCCCTGCAAATATGGTAAGTGTTGGATCCTGTAAGAATCAGATTCCTTGGCTCAACAAATGTAACACTTCCCAATCTAGGATACCATACTAGAGATATATCAATCCCATAGCTTCTTTCCTGTGTTTGAGCACCAATCAGAATGCAGGGGACACAAGCAGCAGGGTCACTGTTGCTTCTCCCAGGACTTGGGATGGACAACCACACAGCAGGAAAAGGTAGGGATAGACATTGACCCAACTTCAAACACATACTAATTTCAAGCTGCCGTTGGATGCGCCCTTTGCTGCGTTCACGGAAGTCCACCTGAGCCTCGTTGTACTTTGTCATCACTTCCACAAACTTCCGGGAGAGGACGGAATGCTACAGAAACAATGTTAAATGAGCAGACCCCAGGAGATGGCGTAAAACTCTGTCCCACCCCAACACAGCCTAGTCTACAGCAGCCTGGACTTGAAACCAAAAGACAAAATACAAAACCCACATTTGCTTTCCTTATTTGGTGCTATGGGAAGAGTCCGCTGCCACTTTCCATGCGCAATCTCCACTACCCATTTCCTCCTTTACTGAACTCATATCATAGTTTTTTTTTTGTTTTGTTTTGTTTTGTTTTTAGTCAAAAGGAGAGATCACTGAGAAGTTGAGAGCCCAGTAGCAATTTTCCACCACAGCCTTGGCTAAAGTAGTCAGGCACCCTTCCCACAAGCAGTTCTTACCTGAACTGACCTCACTATTCCTTACTTACAAATAGACATTTGCTCTCAACAGACCTTCCTAATAATTTTAATCCCTTGCCCAACTCACAGCAGCAAGCCCTACTGATATCTTTTCGTTAAAACCAAATGCACTGTTTCATGTAAATTCGAACTAAATCATTGCAAAAGCCTCTTGCCTCTTCCCCACTCGCATCCAAAAGACTATCACAGCCCCCAGCATGCTGTGTAATCTGAAACAAATGACTGTCAGCTACTGGATCACATCCAAATTCCCTCAACTAGTACTTAAAGACCTTTGGGCCAGGCGGTGGTGGTGCACACCTTTAATCCCAGCACTCGGGAGGCAGAGGCAGGCGGATGTCTGTGAGTTCCAGGCCGGGCTCGACCGACAGCCTCCGAAACAATACAGAGAAACCCTGTCTCGTAAAAACAAAAAAAAAAAAAACAAAAAAAAAAGACCTTTGGAATGTGATACTAAATTGCCTGCTGGAAAGTCAGCATCTATTACCCAGCAACAAGCTCCTTTCTCAAGAGAAGTTACTCCCATTGTACCTATCCTATACTCATCCCCCTGCCTCTGCCACTGCCTTCCCTGCCACTGCTACCAGCACCACTCTCTACTGCCAGCATGCACACACACAATCATACTCATCCCTGATCCTATTTCTTATTTCCTCTCAAAACAGGGAAGCTCTGCCTCCAGAGCCCGTCTATACGGCACTCGTGCTTACCCAAGGCCCAGCTTCTCTAGCTACCCCCGGTTCTCCAAGAAGTCATTCAGTTGAGGAGACAACCATATGTTCAACCATGTCTTCTTACATTGTTCTCCTGCTATACAGTAGTTATTTACTACACCACCTAAACATCATGTCAGGGTCCTCCCTCCTCGTTTTCCTTGTTTTTTAATGTTCTCATGCTATAGCTCAGGCAGGGTAGCCTTGAAGTCTTGGCAGTCCTCTTGCCTCTACCTCCTAAAGATTGGGTTATGCTTTGTGTTAGTTCTCATAGCACAAAGATCACGTTTTTGATAACTCCAAAGTGTCTGACTCCAAACTGAACAACTACTAACCAACAATCTTTCTTTGCCTATAAAACAATGGGGTGCTGAAGCTGAGTTCTAAAGAATCTAGGGAAGTATTTTAATTGCCTCCTTTGGATGTGAGAGAAGGGCCAAAAGGAAACAATGGGTCCTGACCACTGCTTCAACCTGGATGGCTCCCTTTTCCCAGCTCCTCAATCTGTGTTCCAGTACAATAGAATGTCCAATACAATGCACAACAGTGAAAAATAATTAAAAGAATAGTAAAAAATGACTGTTAAACCAGGAACAAAGATACCTGGGACTTTCGGATGCGAAGGTCTGCTGATGACCGGACATCATCTTCTTCAATATGCTTCTCCATGCCTGGAGTGAGAGGGTTATTCTAGCAACACGTCTGTCCTTCCTTCCACAAAGTATCCTACCCACCAGATTCCTTACCTATCCTCACACACGGAGGCCACGAAGGTGGACTACCCACCAGATTCCTTACCTATCCTCACACACAGAGGCCACGAAGGTGGACAACCGAGAGGTACAATTGCAAAAAGTTAATGTCCACTCCCATGAGCTGCACACGAGCTCTCACTGGCCTATGCTATTGTCAAGTCTCAGCAACACAGCAGCAGTTCAGTCCGGGCCATCAAGGGACTGAGACTCAAACTCTTACCCTGCCATGGACTAGCAGTGTGACATGGGGAAAACCATGTAGTCTCTTTCAACCACCTGTCCTCTTCTTTATAAGATGGGAAAGATAGTAATACAATCCGAGCACCCTTTATGCGAAATGCTTAGAACCAGGAGTGTTTGAGATTTTATGAACACTTGCAATATTTGCATATATATAATTTTGGGGATGGCACAAAGGACTCATTTGTCTTTCATATATACCTTTAAGCTTGGAGATACCTTTGTACCAATTTTCTAGTGCACTTGTGAGGTTAGGTGTGAAATTTTCTACTTACAGTATCGTGAATGCTCAAAAAGTTTCAGATTTTAGAGTACTTTGAATTTGGAAACTTTGGATTAAGGATGCTCAACCTGAACCTCCTTAGAATACCATGTAAAAATCAAATACACTACTTGTCACAGGGCAATCACATTATCATTATCTTCAGAAGCTGTCTTCCTCTCCATACCCATTAAAATAACTGTTGTAATTTATTGGAGAGGAAGAAGTCACCCAGATTTCCTCTCTTACCAATAGCACACACTCAACAAGCATTGTAAATGGGAGCATGGACTGCGGCTGTGGAACTAAGCAAGCATTTGAGATATCCAATAGGACTGGGTATATGACAGTGGCTTTACTGAGATGTGCTCCAAAACTAGGGAAGGAGGGAGGAATGAGAAGGTACACAGTAAGGAATGTCTGCTGGCCAAATGGAAAACCCTGTACCTATGCCTCTGCAGTTACTTCTCTAATATATGCGGGTGCTGGGGAACCAGGGAACAGAAGGACTAAGCTAAAATAATCACAACAGCAGTGGAAAGCACATTCTTCTGTTTTTGTTTTGGCTGGGTTGGTTCGTTTGCTTTTCAAAACAGGGTTTCTGTGTGTGACCCTCGCTGTCCCAGAACTTTCTCTGTAGACCAGGCCAGCTTTGAACTCACAGAGATCTACCTGCCTCTGCCTCCCGAGTGCTGGGGTTAAAGGCATGGGGACACCAATGCACCTTGGAAAGTACATTTTAACTCCCACTTCCTCACTTCAGTTCTGGACATTTTCAATTGCAGTGAGAATTCAAGTGCCGATGAGTGTCTAAGGATTTACTAGGTCAGTCCAGAGACACTGCCCAAGCCTCCAGTAAAAATGGGACATGTGATGTCACCCTCACTGAGATGACTGGCAGTTGAAAAGTGAGCCCTGAGAAGCTGCATCTGGTTGTGGTAGAGACTGGCTTATTCCTGTGTTTCCTTCTTACTCTTCAGCTTGTTCCGGACGTTGTTGGCCCTTTTCTTGATCTCACTCGTGAGCTGTTCAAGGTCATCTTTGGTTTCTGGGTAAACATAAGAGGTAGGCTCAGTTAGAAAAGAGGATGAACAGCCTCTCATAAGCTGCCACCACAGTGTTCATTTCAGTGCGCTATCCAGAATCTACCACCGTAGATGTGACTGTGTCACAGAGAAATGGTTTTTGTTTGTTTGGTTGGTTTTTGTTTGTTTTTTAAAGCATTTCATACTGAGGGAATGGCACAGCAGTAGATCACATGCTTAGCATGCACCAAGTCCTGGGTTCAATCCCTCACATCCAAAATAAATTATTAATTAACTAAATAAAAGGCATTTTCCAGGCACCCCACCCCAGACCTAAAGAACCAAATACCCCAGGGTCAGAGCCTAGGATCTGCTTAATTTAATAAGCCTCCCCAATCCCAGTCATGCTTTTAGAGGAATTAACTCGTTTACCATGTGTGCTCAATCTCAGGACATAGGAGAGGAGTCTACAGACGCTCTGGGGAAAAGAAATTTCAACCAAAGCCCATTAACTCAAATGAGGCAAGTATTTATGATGTACTTATTACATGCCTAGAACTGTCCCAGCTGATGCATGGAGCACTGTACTCATGGTGGGTTTATGAAGCAAAATCAAAAAGAGCTAGTACCTTTCATTCCAGAGCCATCACTCAGTTCCAAATGAGTGTAACTGAGTGAGAAACTAAGGGACCAGATATAGATTCAGCCTTCCAGGGGCTGAGCCTGACAGGAGTTGAATAGGGAGTACATCAGAAGTCTTGATGTGTAACACTAGATACGGTTTAAGTTCTGAGCAAGGTGTGCATGGGATGTTTAAGGAGAACCTTAGCACAGCCTTGGGGATCTGGAAGAGCCCCTAACAGCTCTTGGTTGGTTGGTTGGTTGGTTGGTTGGTTGGTTGGTTGGTTGGTTGGTTTAAAAGAAAGACTATACGTTAGCGAGGTGGCCAAGGAAACTGAGAGCAGGAATGCCAAGGAAAGGACATATAAAGAACATGAGGGAATAAGGAATGTTTGAGGAACAACAAAGGTTAACATAAGGCAAGTATCAGCAGGATGGGGCAGAGGTGGCAAGAGAAAGGATGGAGAGGAAGATGAGACAGGAAGAGACAATTCTCATATGCTCAGGAACTGGAGAGCCACTGAGCAAGGCAAAGGGAGACTGTTTGTTTTTCTTACGAACATAAAATACAGTACTAAACTGTATTTTCCAAATATAAAACACTTAGTGGAACAAATGTTTGCCTCAGAAGCAGTAACAAATGCAAGTAAGAGACAGAAGGGACTCCATGAACTTGAACCATTCCATAATACCTCATAAGGAAAAGAACGAATAAAAATGAACTTGGACGACCCATTTCAATCAGAAGAAAGAATGCAAACCAAGGCACAAAGTTGGACGGAGCAGTAAAAGGCATTGCTAGTCATGAGAGGTATGAGCTTGGAATTAAAGGAGTTTGAACGGTTCTAGCCGGGCTATAAAGAGAAGAACTGAAGGAGGCTGGGAGTGAGAGCTCAGAGAGACAAGAGAGGTGCTATGTGATATGGTCTATACATTAGCACAAGGGAATGTATATGATCTCCTGCTGTTCCCAGAAGGGAGGAAAACAAGCCTGTCTCAGCCCAATGTGAAGGGTCAGTACAGAGTAACTCAACTCAGTCAACACTCACTTGGCTCTGGAATCGGTGCAGAGAGAATGATACTGTAGAGTTTCTTAGCTTCCTCCACACTCTCTGAGATCTTGTCAATGTTGAGCCGAGTTTCCTCAATCTACAATCAGAAAAACAGAGGGAAAACAGTCCACACCTGAAAGGAATGCTTAGCAGAGCTTCCTGCTGCAAGCTGTCCACCTTCTGTGTTTGTGGAAGAGCATGAAAAAATATCCAGCTGCCCAGGGAGTGTCATCTCCACGGTCAAGGAAATTAGTCTATAAAGACCTGTCGTTACAATCCACACTCCTCCTCCCTGAGAGGGAAGTAATCACTCACCTTGGATGGTAAGGTTCAGGTCTGAGTCAAGAAGGTCAGGGAACCAGTGGAGAACAACCCTCTGGCCCCCAAAGTGAGAAGAGAAGAGGATGAGCATGGGGTGGGGAGGAAGGAAAGTAGTCAAAGAGAACAGAGCACAAGACAAAGGACAGGGGAAAGAAAGAGACTCGGCAAGGTCATCTCAGAAGACAGCCAGGCTGCTGGACACAGTCTACTGAACCAACTATTACAGGCTCACCCCAGCAGCTGACCAGGACCCAGAAGTTACAGTCTTGAGCCATTTCTGCTCATTTTAAGGTTCCTGGCTGCATGAGTATACGCCATAAAGGATTTCCAATAGCACTTTGTTTGGGGATAGAACACATAAACAACAGCTCACCTCAGCTTCATCCACTGGCACCAGGTGCCTGGGCACCATGGCCCCTGAAGCAGATGTACAGTGGGGTCAGCAGATACAGAAGAAACCTCAGCACCCACTGTGCTTACCTACCTCATCCCAAAGTGAAGGGGATGTCAGCACTGCAACAATTAACTACAGGAACCTTGTCATTGACATGATATATTTTATTCATAATGCATAAACTTAACATCTGGAATGCAGATTTGATGAGTAGGTTTCTTCAAATCCAGTGCCCCCTTTTTCCAATGGATAGGTACCTCTTTTCAAAAACACCTAATTACAATGATCCAGAAAATAGTAAAGATCAAGCTTGAGCTTCCCATCCCTCACAGCAGCATTTTTGCCAGCCAAGGGATTTTTTCCTCTATAAATAGGTTGACTTATATACACCATAATTTGAGAGTAAGATCACTGCTTAAAAATATAAAATATTAATGTAATCATATCAAAGTATAAATTAACATATGCACAACCACTCAGATATTTACTTAGCATTTTAATAGTTGCCAAAGTAACATTTAAGAGTGTATTAGTATTATTATTCAGACTAGAAAACTAAAATTTAATAAGTCATATTCCACCAGATGTGGTCACACATGTTATCTCCTGTGAACACTGGTGGTGTTTTAGACCACACACCTCTGCCCTTCTCCTTTCTCTCTACTCAACACTGGCTCCTGTGCTAGTCTGATGAACTAGGAGAATCCTGGTCCAAACTGATCAACGGTAGAGAGACAGAACACAGGAAGTTGCTAAGTCTATAGTGCCCCAAGTTCAGAGTCACTACAGGCATATGGAGACTGAGAGTTAGGACCAGGTCATTCCATTTTCTGCTTATGTTCTAAATGTTCAAGTTCTGGAGCAAACACCACCCCTACCCTATAACTACAACTGCTTTCTTCCCTCTGTCCTATTGCTCTCACCATCAGGAGGCATTTCAGGGATCTGGTTAAACAGCACTTTAATCAGTTCACCAAACAATCAAAAACACCTTTAGAACTTCAGGGTGAACAACTGGTCAACCACATGAGCTTTATCTCCTTGAGCTTTGTGTCAGTTTTTCTTGGAAGTGTTCATCTTCCTGAACAATGAATTTCTGAGTATTTCTTGGTGACAGACAGCTACATGTGATTTCCTTTTGTGAATTCACCAGATCATCAGACAAACCATCGGGTGCGGTGAAGCCATATAGGAACTGATAAGTACTTAATCTTAAAGGCTTAAGGAACTATTTATGCCTGTGCTTCACATTACCCCATGTTATCACATATTTAGATGATGCTAGGCCCTTTGCAGTACTTTTGTGAGGTCACCATCACTACCTCCTTTCATACAAAAGTACTGAGGTTCAGAGGCAGAGGCTCCAACCCAACCTTCAAAGAGGAGGAAACTGAAGTTTGAACACAGACATCTGTTAGGCACCAGACCCTGTTGGCTAAACCAGGTAAGGACCACAGTGGAAGGCTCCTTCTCTGTTAAGCTCCTGTGTAATCACTCTCTTATCAGGTTGATAGACGTCCAACTCATATTCTGCAAGATTGGTTATGCAAAGCTAGGCATAGCTGCCCTTGCCTATAGACCCAACATCAATAGGCAAAGACACATGACTCCTGAAAGCACTGGCCAGCCAGGCAATCCAAAACAGTGCGCTTCCAGTTCAGTGAGAATCCCTTTCTCTAGACTGCAGCAGAAAATGACAGAGGACAACACTCATGTCCTGCTCTGAATTATACATACATGCTCATGGGTGCATGTATCTGCACATTCATGTATATACACCACACTCAAGGAGAAGGGAGGGAAGGGGAGGGAGGGAGAGGGAGGGAGGGAAGGGAGGGAAGGGGAGGGAGGGAGGGAGGGGGGAGGGAAGGAGTGAAAGGGAGGGAGGAAGGAAAAGAGGTTGGTTTTAGATTCATTCCACAGAGATCATGCTATGCCTTACTTCTCTGTCTGGCTACAACTCCCTATCAGGAGCTTTTTAAACAGTGAATAGAAGCATTGTTGATAGATTAAGCCAAGCCAAAAATAGGTTTTGCAAATCACCACTAAATTTAAGGCTAATGCATCCCCAGTACCTTTTTACTATCTATTGATTTTCAGACTATTTACCAACAATCTGTCATCAATATGAGACTCCAGATAATTAAAAAAAAAACCGTATCAAACAGAACAAGTTTAGGGTTCAGCTCCACCTCTTAGCACGTTTATGACCTTGAGCAAGTTTACACCACATCAAGTACATAATGAATGTTAGATGATAACAATGAATACAAACAGTAATAACAACTGCTCGTTTATTATCTGCCAGACTATGCTGCCCCTTTAAAAGTATGTCTCATTTAATCCTTTAGCAATCCTAATGTCCTCGGTAATCACTCACAAAAACCTAAGAACATCAGGACTCTTGATGGTAGGTGCTGCCAATTAGAATGACCACATGATATTAACCAATATCATCTCACTGAAAGGAGGAGGTTGTTTTTGTCTTTTTCATTTCCACGCACATGTGCATTATGCGTACATGTGTTAGCAAATGTATGAGCACATATGGGTACACATACACACATGTGAACATGTGTTGAGGCCTGAGGTATATGTTGAGAATCATCTTCAATCCCTATTATACCTTATTCATCAAGGCAGGTCACTCAATCAAACCCAGCATTTGTGGACATGGCTGCTTACTCCAGGGATCCCCTATCTCTGTCTTCTGAGGCTGGAATTACAGGTGGATATCACACCAACTTGGTATTTACATGGGTCCTGGGGATCTGAGCTGTGGTCCTCACACTTGCCTGGCAAGCACTTCAACCACCAAGCCATCTCCCCAGAGCAGGTGGTAGTTAGACTGAAGACATCAATGTCCTCTTCCCCCGGACCTAATTCTCCAGTGGACTCTAATCAGACAACAGAAAACAAAGAAAGTCCTGGCAGACCGGCTGGGTGAGTTGAAGGTTTTTTCATGACTTAGTTTTTCAGCTTCTTTTATGAATGAAAACTATGGCCTCAGAGTTGGACTGACTAATAAAAACAAGTTTTCTAAGATAATATTCTCAAATCAATTAAGTTGAAACACTAATCCTCCCTAATCAGAATGCCAATCATAAAAAGAACAAACATGGTGAATAAATAGACAGTTGGTGAGGTGTAAACTAGTATAGTCACAATGGAAATCAGTATGGCAGTTCCTCAGAAAGCTAAAAAAGAACTTGTATATGATCCTGCTGCACCACTCCTACAAATACACTTGAAGGAAATGATGTCATCATGCAATAGAACTATCTCACACCCAAGTTTACTGCCGCAATATTCACAGTTACCAAGATAGAGAATCAGCCTAAACTGTCAACTGATGAAGGGATTTTTAAAAATGTATGCATATCAGAATACTACTGAGCCATAAAGAATAAAATAGTGTCATTTGTAGGAAAATTGATGGAATTAGAGGTTACCATGTTAAGTGAAAAGAAATCATTTTAAAGCACTCTCAGAGAGTCAACTAGGTATGTTTTCTCTCATACAGAATTTATACACACACACAGACATGAAAGTAGGTGAAGCACTACTAGGAACTTATAAGAGGGACCAAGATAGAAAGTATGGGCATAGTAAGAAAGGTAAAGCATAGTACACACATATATGTCATATAAATCTACTAATCTAAATAACATAGTTTAATGTAATTACCAGCAAGGAAGGGAAAAGTGCATGAAAGGAAATGGGAGAGATAGGTCAAGAGCAAATTGCCAACTGACCAGTCAAGGCTTCCTGCATCACTATTGGAAGAGCCTAGAAATTAGAATCTACCAGCTTGCCTACTTCCCTCTCATACAAATATCCTACTGAAAGAGTTAAGAAATTTTTAACCTGCTGGTTTTGACCTGATGCCTAGATTTCCAAATTATAATCACTTTGAAAGGTCTAGGTTCTAACAAAACTCAAGCCCAAACAGCAAATCCCTGTGTTTCAAGATTAGTCCCTCTGTAGCTCCTACTGCTCCATCCACACACCCTTCCCTGACCCACCCTCCAGCCAGGCTCTGGAGAACTTGTCTTGTTTTGTAAGTATGATTTAGATGCTTCATATGCCAGGGCTGTATTTCTCATCTCAGACTTCTTTAAAGACCCCATGATGCCAAATGCAGAGTCACTCTGTAAATGTCTGTTTAATGAATGTATAAATGCAAGTAACTTAAAGAAATAAACAGGCTTTAAGCTGTGGGGAATGGTTCAGTTGGTAAAATGTTTTGAGGTGATATATTATTTACAATTTGTTAAAGCTTGCCTGAGGATTCAGAAAACAAAGTCAGCCACAAGCCATAGAAGATAGACACACACACCTTTAATCCCAGCAGTCAGAAGTTAGGAGGTGGTGGTACACACTTTTAATCCTAGGACTCAGGATTAAGAGGCAGACGGATCAGATCTACACAAGATTGATCCAGTCCTAAAGAGAAACAGCTCACACAAAGATGATCTCAGCACCTGAGATTACACACCTTTAATCCCAGAATTAGGGAGGTATATAAGATAGGAGCAAGGTCTCAATATCAGGCATTCATTCTCCAGCCACGTTGAGGAGAGGTTACACTCTGAGGCTTGGTTAAAGCTCATGGAGACAGGATCAGTCCATTCAGTCTGAGGTAGAGTAAGAGCTAGTGACCAGCTGCTTTGCTTTTCTGAGCTTCAGCTTCAAGTTTGAACCATAATATCAGTCTCTGGGTCACTTATTTATCATTACAATGTTTGTCTTGTAAACTTAGGAAGCGGAGTTCAATTCCCCAGAACTCAGATAAAAAGCCTAGGTATATAGGCATGTCTATGATCCTAGCACTGGGAAGGCAGAGACAGGTAGATCCCTGGCCAGCCCAACTGGTGAGTCTGTGCCAATAAAAGACAATTTCTCAAAAGAGGCTGATATCCTGAGGTTGACCCCTGAGGTTGTTCTCCAGTATCCATACACACATATGCATAAATGTGCACTTGCATACACACATACCTGAGAAAGAAATATGCTTTGTACCCCTAGGAAAATAGTCTCATTTTTTAAAGTATACTGATAATGAACTGAATGTTGTGCCCCACAAATTCACACATTGATTCTTAATGTGAAGGTATTTAAATGTGGGGCTTTTGTAGGATCCCTCATGAATGGGGTTAGCTTCCTTTGCTCTCTTTCCACTTTGTTAGACCACAGGAAGCTGAAGTACCCTGAAATATAGAAGGAGGACCCCAGCATAATTCAATAATGCTAGTACCCTGAAAGCAAACTTTTAGGCTCAAGAACCACAGCAAGTAAATTTCTATTGTCTACAGGCTATCCAAACTATGTACTTTGGGACAGCAGCCCAAACTAAGGTAGACTCCTCCAAAGGAAGTGGTACACTTTCCAAAGGGTAGCCACCCAACCTTGTTAATAAAAGTTCCATGTCAGGTCTGTGACGAGCTAAACACTGAGAGAGCCTAGCAAAGCAAGTTCCTTCACTATGGGATTTCTTGGAGCCTTTAGGAAGACCATGAACATTCTAAATGTCCAAGAGAGGGTCAGCATGATGACTCAAAGGGTAAAGACACTTTACATCACCCAAGTTAGACCTCTCGACCCACATAGCCAGAGAGCAAACTCCCTCAAGTCAAGTCATTTTCTGACATACACATGTGCCAAGGCACACATAAACTAAATAAATGTGACTAAATTTTAAAAAATCAATATCTTTAAACAAATACATCTCTAACAGAAAAAAAGGGAAATTTCTCAAATATCTAGTCATAGAGGTTTATAGCATCTCACGCTGCCACCAGTGTGAATAGCTGAACAGAATGAACATTCTTATTGCCCAAACAGCCATGCCCAACCCCTGCCCTGTTTAGTAATAGTTCCTGGTTGTGTTTGGGCAGCATGTGGTCATCTTTAGAGGATGTATCATGCTAGGCTCTGTGGAAATCCTGGTGATCTTAATCTCTCTGCAAAGTATTCACCCTTTTTGTGTCCCTGCCAACAAAAGTTGATAATGACCTTATACCATTACTAACTAGGAAAACAGACTCTAGTCTTTATTCACAGACCAAAGCTCCCGCCCCCATCCTCCTACCTTGCAAGGGATACTGCCTCTAGGGACCCTCCCATGGTTCAGGGGAAGAGGGAGAAGAGATACTAGAGAAGATTTCACACTATAGAGAACATATTCTTTAACATGTATGGGGCTCCAGGGCAAGCTGCAGTGACTAGAGACAATGTCTTCTGACATCAGCTCAAGTCTACCTTATGTTGTGGTAACCTCCAACCATAAAATTATTTTCCTTGCTACTTTACAAGTGTAATTTTGCTACTGTTATGAATCACAATGTAAATATCTGTGTTTTCCATTGGTCTTAGGCAACCCCTGTGAAAGAGTCATTTGGCCTGGGGTCACGACCCACACATTAAGAACAGCTGCCCTAGAAGCACAGCAAGTGCTCTTAACCACTGAGCCATCTCTCCAGTCTCTTTCTGCTGACTTCCTTAATAAGATGTAAAGTCTAGATACTCCCAAGAATTGAAAACAGAATCTCCCTGGAACAATGCTGCCTGCCCATCTGTTCCTTTGCCAGCATTGAAAGATCTGAGGTTTCTTTATTCTTACTAAGGAAACTGTGTTTCCTCATGTACATTCAGAAAAAAAAAAAACCCACAGGAAGGCTGCCCACCTCAGAGAAGAACTCATCCATGAAGGCTGTATTGTCGATGGCAATCTCAACCTCGTCAGTGTCATCATCCTGTGTCAGCTGTTTCTGCAAGAGACCAGAACAAGCCAGAGTGAGAATGGCAACACTGTGAACAGTTACCATTATTGATGGGTTATATTTAAGCATGCATAGATACTCTGGGGTTGTCAATAATTAAATCCAAGCTCTACCATCTCCTGACTTTGTGCGAGGGGGATGGGACAAGCAAGTTACTACTCAGCTTGTTGGGCCAGGGGTTCCTTAACTGTCCAAAGCTAATAGCACTACTTTATAGAGTTAGTTAAGAAATAAATGATATTATCTGGGAAGTGGTGCCTTTAAACCCACTTCTTGGGAGGCAGAGGCAGATGGGTCTCTGAGTTTGAGGCTAGCCTGGTCTACAGAGTGAGTTCTACAACAGCCAGGGATACAAAAAGGAAACCTGTCTCAAAAAGAAAAAGAAAGAAAGAAAAGGAAGGAAGGAAGGAGATAATGAACGTAACACATGTGCACAGGATTGAGTACGCTGTATACTCAATATTAGGGTCTTGTTTTGCTTTGTTTTATACTGGGGGTCAACACCTAAGCCTTCACAAGCATTAGGAAAGTGCTCTGTCACTGGACTCCATACCAAGTACAATGTCGTTGCTACTGGTGGTGGCATTTCTGTAACTTACTCCAGCTGAAGAACCTAAAACTAAGAAACGTTTAGTAACAGACAGACTCTAACCTACCCATGTGGTTTAAACAAGTTCCAAGCGTTCCAGCAAACCATGAGCAGCTGGTCCTCATAGCTGGAGTAAAGACTTCCCTGTACTTAGAAACTACCTATTGCAAAGAAAATCAGGTTGTTCCCTACCTAAGAGCTGGTATTTACAAGGAAAAGGAAGTTCTCCCTCCCCCCCCCAGGACCTCAGGGAGTGCAAACCTTCTCAACCTCATGTACCTTCCTCTGAAGAATTACAAAATGACTATCCAGAGGAGGTGACTCCATTCCCATTCAGCAACAAAAGTCTGAACTGTTTGCACATTCTTCCTGATTGCTCTCTCCCAGACAAGTGCTACACAGGGGGCACTGCTGACTTCTGAGCACACAGAACACTGGCTGTTGAGAGTAGAGGTGGGGAAGGGGAACCCTACACTTGCTTCATCACACCCTTCAACAGCTTATAGCCTTCCACATCCAACTACATCACCCTCAATGACTCAAACCTCCACAAGCAATGAAAATGGCCAGGCCCCACATCACCAGTTACCACCCTACAAATCCAAAAAATTCCTATAGAAATTTCAACCACCTGGAAAATCTCTTTAAGGGTTCTCCCAGCATCTCATTTTTTGTCTGGTCTGGGACAGTTAACATCCCAAGCTTAAAATCTACATTCAAGAGGGGAGCTGAATCTGGGGGTCCTCATTCATTCCACAACTATCTCCTAAAAAACTCAACTAATTATGTCCCACAGACACTCAAGGTCATATAATGGCAGCTTGCCTCCTAAGACCAAAATCCCTCTGCCCAAAAGAACACACAGAACCTTTAAAATCGAGCCACACCCACACTTCTCCCTCAATGCATTCTTGAGATCAACCACTTCAGATTCCTTACATTTCCTAGACAAATCATTGCTTTTTCTTTCCATGCTGCCACACAAAGATTCTAATAAAAAAAAAAAAAAACGCCATCTGTCCAACTGCCGAAATCTTATTCATCTTCAGAATTCACTTAAGACAGCCTGAATCCTGTCTCTCCCATGCAAACTTCAAAACCTCTTAAGCTCTCGCTACTCGGTAAAGACCTTCCATAGAAATCACCATGGCCTACTGTCATCAGTCTGTACTCAATGACTATAAAACACCAGAGATTGGGGTTACCATGTGTATCCATCAGAATACGTTCAGTGGTGTGTCTACCTGCCAGCCCAGGGTACCGTCCATGGAATGCTCTTTCACCCTTCCTATCTGATTTTGGGAAGGCCATGGGATTACTCAAGCTCCCTAAGGAATCTGAGCTGTGAGAAGAGCCTGAAGGGAATAGAGCCTAGCGAACCAATGGCAGCACCTTCCTCTCCTGAGCCCTCCTTCCCTTGACTGCAGACAGATTCTGTAGATCTCCCCTTGTATTCTTTCAGATAGCTCAACAGTTCTTTAGTTCATTTAGTCAAAGTCGACCTTCTCACCTGCAATTAAAGTGCAACACCATAATTATTGTAGTTATTTCACTAAGACTTGTCCCCATATGATGGGGGAAGTCCTGTGTATGTGCTTATCTTAATTGGTTGTTGAATAAAGTACTGTTAGCCAATAGGGAAGCAAGATAGGTGGGACTAGGAGTTGAGAAGGATTCTGGGAAAGAGAGGAACAGTCAGTCACAATATAGGACGTGGAGAAGTAACATGCCCAGACACTTCCTTCAGTAAAAGAAGGCCGCATGGAAATATTCAGATTAGCAATTATGGGTTAAATACTTACGTCAAAGCTAGCCAGTAAGAAACCAAGTGACCAGCCAACAGTTTTATAATTAATATAGCGTCCTGTGTGTTATTTGGGGGCTGAGACAGCAGCAGGACCCAAGCGGCTAACTGCAGCAGGGCCCAAGAGACTGGCAGGAAGACAACACGTTACACCCATAGGCTCATATATTTGAATGTTTAGACACCAGGGAGTGGCACTATTTGACAGGATTAGAAGGACTGGGTGTGACTGTTAAAAGAAGTGTGTCACTGGAGGTAGGCTTTGAGATTTCAAAAGCCCCTGCCAGGCACAGTCAGTCTTTCTGTCTCACTGTCTGTGTCTGTCTATCTCTCTGTGTCTGTCTGTCTGTTGTCATCCCCCCATGCCTACAAATCAGCACATAGAACTCTCAGCTACTTCTCCAGGACCATGTCTGCATGAGTGCTGCCATACTCTCTGCCATGATGATAATGGACTAATTTCTGAAACTGTAAGTAAGGCCAAAATTAAATGCTTTCTTTTGTAAAAGTTGTCTTGGTCATGATGTCTCTTCACAGCAATAGAACAGTGACAAAGACACTTACAATAATTTATTTCATGCTTCCTAAGTATTTAACAGAAATTGAATCAGTTCTGACTGAATGCATTCATACTAGCCTACAGCTTAAATTCACACATCAGTTTCCAAAGTTTGAGATGAAATGTTCCATTACTCAAGCATCCTCAAGATCCAAGGTTCTCAGAGACCTCCACCGGATCTTCTCTACAGGGAAGATACCTGCACTATTTCCTAGAATACACAAAGCCATTCTTTCTCTAGGAAGTTGGCTAGTAAGCTTTTGCTAAGAACATCCTTACTTAGAGGATTTATTTGTTAATCTATTTTATGTGTATGAGTGCTTTGCCTGCATGCACACCTGTGTAACACTTGCATGTAGTGCCCATGGACAACAGTAGAGGATGTTGTATCTACTGGTATTGGAGTCAGAAATAACTGTGAGCCACCATAAGGATGCTCAGAATAGATCCAGGGTCCTCTGTAAGAACAGTACATGATCATAACTGCTGAGCCATCTTTCAGCCTAGAGAATGTTCTTTCCCAAGAGGTGGAGAGGTGGCCTTGCAGCTCCACTGAGGGAAGAGACATCAAGTATGTATCTGATACACACATACGCCCATGCCCACACACACACACACACACACACACACACACACACACACAGAGTCAATCAATTCAGGGTCCAAATTGGCAAATATATTAAGGCTATAGGAAGAGCTACTTCAAGAATGGATCAAGGGAAGTTTCCAGAAGTTGAGAACAACTGTGGACTGGAATGAGAAGCAAACACTCAGTAGTTATCATAACATGAGCCTCTAAGACTAGATAGTGTACAAGGACTGCCCAATGCCAGAACGGCTCTTGGCTTTGAGCAGGCTTGAGACAAGGGGCCTGGTCTACCTTTAGTGATCAAGTGGACTAGGAAAAGGAAAGAATGGCCTTTGGTAACCTACAAACTGAGTCCAACACCTATTGCCATTCTAGCTGTGAGACCTTTCTCAAGCACCACACCTGCCTAATTTTTTTAAAAACCATTGTTGGAACTAACACAACACACTGTCTTACTTGTACGAGAACTGAAGAAGCCACATACGGAAATCTTTTAGTACAATACTGAGCTCCCTCTGACCAGCAGTACCAGGTGTCAATTTCCCCATCACCTGGTATTAGAGATGTAGACATAGAAAAAGAATCCCTGTGAGGACAAGGAGACAATCCCCTTCTTCTCCCTAAAGGCTGCATCTGTAAGACAAATTTACCGGGGCAACATATACCAGGGTTATAATGTGGCCCTATCACATCATAGTCACTGAACCCCAAATACATGGTTTAACATCTCTGAGCCTCCATTTCTTCATCTATAAAGCAGAAAAGTTATTATGTCATAGGACTTTGCTTGAGTAGCAGGCTCTGTACCACTGCAATGACACTGCCAACCACTTGATCTCTTTTCCAATCCAGTTACCTCCCCAACTCCCAATATATGAGTATCAACTACTGAGAAAGTCAAAGTTCTGCTCTTTAAAACCCTTTACGTCTGTCTTAGAGTCACAGTCTCCCTGCTCAGCACCAAGCACTTTCTGTCCCCACCAACCTGATCCTATATCTCCTGCACATATCATGTTTACTCCTATTCCTAGGCTTTCTACTGATACTATGGTCCTTCACAGAGCTCGTGTGTGTGTGTGTGTGTGTGTGTGTGTGTGTGTGTGTGTGTGTGTGTGTGTGTGTACTGGCTTGGATAAATATGGTCCCCATACACTAATGTTTGAATGCTTAGCTTATGGGGAGTGGCACTATTACGAGGTGTGGCCTTGTTGGAGGAAGTGTGTCACTGTGGAGGCAGGCTTTGAGGTTTCATATATGCTGAATCCACGCCCAGGGTGGCAGTTTTTCCTTCTGCTGCCTGCAGTTAAGATGTAGGACTCTCAGCACCATGTCTGCCTACATGCTGCCACATCCCACCATGATAAAAATAGACTAAATCTCTGAAACTGTAAGCCAGTCCCAATTAAATGGTGTTTTTTTAATAAGAGCAGTTGTGGTCTTGGTGTGT